CTCTCAGGAACGGATTAACATCACTGGTCGAGGGTCCACTGTATTTGGGAGTTGACGTGTCAGCGGATGGATTTATGAAGGATGAGGTTAATCATAGAATTGATGAAGGAAAAAAGGTGAGTGGTGCATTGAGGTATATGTGGAGACAAAAAATGTTATCTATGGAGGCAAAGAAGGTAATGTATTAGAGTATAGCAGTACCAACACTCTTATATGAGTGTGAGGCTTGGGTTGTAAATGCTGCAGCGAGGAGGCGGTTGGAGGCAGTGGAGATGTCCTGTCTAAGGGCAATGCGTGGTGTAAATATTATGCAGAAAATTTGGAGTGTGGAAATTAGGAGAAGGTGTGGAGTTAATAAAAGTATTAGTCAGAGGGCTGAAGAGGGGTTATTGAGGTGGTTTGGTCATTTAGAGAGAATGGGTCAAAGTAGAATGACATGGAGAGCATATAAATCTGTAGGGGAAGGAAGGCAGGGTAGGGGTCGTCCTCAAAAAGGTTGGAGGGAGGGGGTAAAGGAGGTTTTTGTGGGCGAGGGGCTTGGACTTCCAGCAAGCGTGCGTGAGCGTGTTAGATAGGAATGACTGGAGACGAATGATATTTGGGACCTGACGAGCTGTTGGAGTGTGAGCAGGGCAATATTTAGTGAAGGGATTCAGGGAAACCAGTTATTTTATATAGCTGGACTTGAGTCCTGGAAATGGGAAGTACAATGCCTGCACTCTAAAGGAGGGCTTTGGGATATTGGCAGTTTGGAGGGATATGTTGTGTATCTTTATACGTATATACTTCTAAACTTTTGTATTCTGAGCACCTCTGCAAAAACAGTGATTATGTGTGTGAGGTGAAAGTGTTGAATGATGATAAAAGTATAGCATGTAATACGAAATATAAGTAGTAGGTTCGTAGACAGCAACCGCCCAGGGAGGTACAGTGGACCCCCGCATACCGTTGGCATCACATAATGTTAAATCCGCATACCGATACATTTTATCGCTAAGATTTTGCCTCGCATACCGCTAAAAAACCCGCTCAATGCTATTCGTCTGAGACGCGTCTAATGTGCGGCCTGAGCCACCCTCACATGTTCCGCCGGTGGCATTGTTTACCAGCCAGCCTCCGCGGTAACATCCAAGCATACAATTGGAACATTTCGTATTATTACAGTGTTTTTGGTGATTTTATCTGCAAAATAAGTGACCATGGGCCCCAAGAAAGCTTCTAGTGCCAACCCTACAGAAATAAGGGTGAGAATTACTATAGAGATGAAGAAAGAGATCACTGCTAAGTATGAAAGTGGAGTGCGTGTCTCCGAGCTGGCCAGGTTGTATAGTAAACCCCAATCAACCATCGCTACTTGTGTCCAACAAAACGGCAATCAAGGAAGCTGTTCTTGCCAAAGGTTCAACTGTGTTTTTGAAACAGAGATCACAAGTAATGGAAGATGTTGAGAGACTCTTATTGGTATGGATAAATGAAAAACAGATAGCAGGAGATAGCATCTCTCAAGTGATCATAAGTGAAAAGGCTAGGAAGTTGCATGAGGATTTAATTAAAAAAATGCCTGCAAATAGTGATGATGTGAGTGAATTTAAGGCCAGCAAAGGTTGGTTTGAGAGATTTAAGAAGTGTAGTGGCATACATAGTGTGATAAGGCATGGTGAGGCTGCCAGTTCGGACCACAAAGCAGCTGAAAAATATGTGCAGGAATTCAAGGAGTACATAGACAATGAAGGACTGAAACCTGAACAAGTGTTTAATTGTGATGAAACAGGCCTGTTTTGGAAGAAAATGCCAAGCAGGACCTACATTACTCAGGAGGAAAAGGCACTCCCAGGACATAAGCCTATGAAAGACAGGCTTACTCTGTTGATGTGTTCCAATGCTAGTGGTGATTGCAAAGTGAAGCCTTTATTAGTGTATCACTCAGAAACTCCCAGAGCGTTCAGGCAAAAAGAATATCCTCAAGGCTAATTTGTGTGTGCTGTGGAGGGCAAACAGTAAGGCATGGGTCACTAGGGACTTTTTCTATGACTGGTTACACCAAGCATTTGCCCCCAATGTGAAAGATTACCTAACTGAAAAGAAATTAGACCTTAGTGCCTCCTGGTGTTAGACAATGCCCTGGTCATCCTACAGACGTGGCAGAGCAACTTTATGGGGACATGAGCTTCATTAAGGTGAAGTTTTTGCCTCCTAATACCACTCCTCTCCTGCAGCCCATGGGCCAGCACGTTATTGCAAACTTCAAAAATCTGTACACAAAAGCTCTGTTTGAAAGGTGCTTTGTAGTGACCTCAGAAACTCAACTGACTCTAAGAGAGTTTTGGAGAGATCACTTTAATATCCTCAATTGTGTAAACCTTATAGGTAAGGCTTGGGAGGGAGTGACTAAGAGGACCTTGAACTCTGCTTGGAAGAAACTGTGGCCAGAATGTGTAGACCAAAGGGATTTTGAAGGGTTTGAGGCTAACCCTGGGAATGCTATGCCAGTTGAGGAATCCATTGTGGCATTGGGAAAGTCCTTGGGGTTGGAGGTTAGTGGGGATGATTTGGAAGAGTTGGTGGAGGAGGACAATGAAGAACTAAACACTGATGAGCTGCTAGATCAACTTCAACAGCAAGAGGCCAGACCTGAGGAAACTGGTTCGGAGGAGGGGAGAGAGAAATTGAAGAAAATTGCCTACTTCAAAGATTAAGGAAATGTGTGGAATGTGGCTTAAAGTGCAAACCTTTTTTGATGACAATCACCCTAACACGGCTATTGCAAGCCGTGCTGGTGACTATTACACTGACACTGTTGTGAAACACTTTAGGAAAGTCATAAAGGAACGAGAGGTACAGGCCACTATGGACAGATATGTTGTGCGACAGAAGTCCAGTGACTCTGAAGCTGGTCCTAGTGGCATTAAAAGAAGAGGGGAAGTAACCCCAGAAAAGGACTTGACACCTCAAGTCTTAATGGAAGGGGATTCCCCTTCTAAACACTAAGACTCTCTCCTCCTCCCATCCTATCAATCATCACCAGATCTTCAATAAAGGTAAGTGTCATGTAACTGTGCATGCCTTTTTCAGTTTGTGTGTATTAAAATTAATATTTCATGTGGTAAATTTTTTTTTTTCATACTTTGGGGTGTCTTGCATGGATTAATTTGATTTCCATTATTTCTTATGGGGAAAATTCATTTGCATAACGATAATTTCGCATAACAATGAGCTCTCAGGAACGGATTAATATCGTTATGCGGGGGTCCACTGTACTACCGTCCTGCCAAGTGAGTGTAAAATGAAAGCCTGTAATTGTTTTACATGATGGTAGGATTGCTGGTGTTCTTTTTTCTGTCTCATAAACATGCAAGATTTCAGGTACGTCTTGCTAATTCTACTTGCACTTAGGTCACACTACACATACATGTACAAGCACATATATACACACCCCTCTGGGTTTTCTTCTATTTTCTTTCTAGTTCTTATTCCTGTTTATTTCCTCTTATCTCCATGGGGAAGTGGAACAGAATTCTTCCTCCGTAAGCCATGCGTGTTGTAAGAGGCGGCTAAAATGCCGGGAGCAAGGGGCTAGTAACCTCTTCTCCTGTATATATTACTAAATGTAAAAGGAGAAATTATCGCTTTTCCTTTTGGGCCACCCTGCCTTGGTGGGATACAGCCAGTGTGCTGAAAGAAAGAAGAGAGTTAAGAAAGAGAAGAGTTAACTGTATATGATGGAAATACAGTGGACCCCCGGTTAACGATATTTTTTCACTCCAGAAGTATGTTCAGGTGCCAGTACTGACCGAATTTGTTCCCATAAGAAATATTGTGAAGTAGATTAGTCCATTTCAGACCTCCAAACATACACGTACAAACGCATTTACATAAATACACTTACATAATTGGTCGCATTCGGAGGTAATCGTTATGCGGGGGTCCACTGTACTTATATACCGCCAGGAGGTGAGATGTAGGCCACTAGTAGAGGTAAGAATGTAGCCGTTGGGAGGTCATGTCCCTATCAACGTGACCTCCCAACAACTACATTCTTACCTCTACTAGTGGCCTACATCTCACCTCCTGGCAGTATATAAGGCTCCATCCTGTCACTTCAACTCCATGATGGAAATAGTTGTGATAAATTTGAGACCTATAGTGAGGGTTATTTAAGATAAGATTTTGTTTGCATTTTTAACTCCAGAGGGTTGGGCACCCAGGTTAACACATAAAAGTAAGTGCATCACCAAGGACTGTCTTATATCCACTGGGGGTCTTTCAATCTTTCCCCCAGGATGCAACCCCCACCAGTTGACTAATACCCAGGTACCTACTTACTTGCTAGGTGAATGGGGACAGCAGGTGTAAGGAAACACGTCCAATGTTTCCACTCTTGTTGGGGAGTGCACCATGGACACTCAGTGTGTGAGGCAAGAGTGTTGCCTACCAGGCCACGGCACACCTACCTTCAATGGCCTGTTCTTCAGTCAAGCATCATTGAGTGCCTATTCAACCAGGTTGTTGCTATTAGTGGTCTGTTGGTCCACATAGCCATTACAGTCTGGTTGATCAGGCATCTAGTGGAGGTGGTGATCCAGTTTCCTCTTGAAAACTTCAACATTTGTACTGGGAACATTTTTTATATCTACTGGTAGCAGGTTGAAGAGTCTATGACTACACATTAGTAGAATGATCTCTTATTGTACCCATGGTACAACCAGGCTGTTGCTGTCAATAAATATCTAGGCTGCTCTGATATTTGCTGGGTGCATTTTATGCTTTTTCCCCATCTCTTTCACTCCAGTCAGTTGTTAGTGTGATGAGTTCAAACTTGGCCCTCCAGTATCTTCCCGGTGTATATTAACAGGTATCCCTCTCTTCCTTGCTCCAAAGAGTATATTCCAAGCACATTTAAGCATTCCTAGTAGTTTAAATGTTATGCTGACTATGTGGGCAGTAAATGATCTCTGTAGATTTTCCAGTAGGTGTCATGACACCTACTGTTGAAATTAATGTTTCACTGTTGCTGTGTCATGACACCTACTTTTGCACCTAATGCTAAATACATCAGAAAAACATTAATACTTTGAAATATTGTACACCTTACCTCAGCATAATTACAAAACACTGGACACCTTCCCTCAGCATCATCACATCACAAAACCAAGAACATCCTACCTCAGCATCATCACAAAACACTGGACACCTTACCCCAACATTGTCACAAAACCCAGAACATCCTACCTCAGCATCAACCTCATCCTCCTCAGTATTGAGAGTGTCCTCCTCATAAGGCTCTTCCAGGAGCTTCAAGAACTTGTCAATGGAAGCTGAAAGTTTTGGTGCCATGTGCAGTAAATGTTTGGTCAGCTTCATCTCAGCAGCAACTTTAGCAAGAGTTTCATTCTTCACATAATGTGATCTGTAATGTTATTAACTCATGTTATGAGAAAATGTGCATGTTATCCTCTCAGAGTAATACATGAACTAGCCAAAATAAATATTGGTGGTAATCTATTCAGTTGGATAATAGGATATCTGTCAAATAGAGTATCCTCTGTTCTCTACCAAGACTTAGAAACAAGTCTAAAGATATTCCGCTAGGTATACTGCAGGGAAGAGTTCTCAGTCCCATGCTAGTTAATGTTCTGATTAATGCTCCTCTAAATGCTTGACCTACCTCACCTAAACATATAGCTATAAGCTATGCTGATGACATCATGATCTGTAGAACAGGGCATAAGATAAGCACCATTCTTAATGAGGTTCAAGTAATTTGTAATTGACTAGGCCCTGTCATATCATCTAAAAGATATTGACATGCCCAACCTATCCTTTAGCTGGGTGGAAAACATCAGCTAAATTAAATATTATAGAGAACTTGGTGTAGAAATGTCCTTTAATAAATCCATCATATCACCATAGTTGTTTAATATATTTATAGATAGGGTTGTAAAAGAAGTAAATGCTAGGGCGTTCAGGAGAGGGGTGGGATTATATTATGGGGAATTAAATACAAAATGGGAAGTGACACAGTTACTTTTTGCTGATGATACTGTGCTTATGGGAGATTCTAAAGAAAAATTGCAAAGGTTAGTGGACAAATTTGGGAGAGTGTGTGTAAAGGTAGAAAGTTGAAAGTGAACATAGAAAAGAGTAAGGTGATGAGAGTATCAAATGATTTAGATAAAGAAAAATTGGATATCAAAATGGGGAGGAGGAGTATGGAAGAAGTGAATGTTTTCAGATATTTGGGAGTTGACGTGTCAGCGGATGGATTTATGAAGGATGAGGTTAATCATAGAATTGATGAAGGAAAAAAGGTGAGTGGTGCATTGAGGTATATGTGGAGGCCAAAAAAATGTCTCATAAACACGCTAGATAACAGGGATATCTTGCTACTCCTACTTACACTTTGGTCACACTTCACAGACACGCACATGCATATATATATATACATACATCTAGGTTTTTTATAGGTAGTAGGTTGGTAGACAGCAACCGCCCAGGGAGGTACTACCGTCCTGCCAAGTGAGTGTAAAACGAAAGCCTGTAATTGTTTTACATGATGGTAGGATTGCTGGTGTCCTTTTTTCTGTCTCATGAACATGCAAGATTTCAGGTACGTCTTGCTACTTCTACTTACACTTAGGTCACACTACACATACATGTACAAGCACATATATGCACACCCCTCTGGGTTTTCTTCTATTTTCTTTCTAGTTCTTATTCTTGTTTATTTCCCCTTATCTCCATGGGGAAGTGGAACAGAATTCTTCCTCCGTAAGCCATGCGTGTTGTAAGAGGCGACTAAAATGCCGGGAGCAAGGGGCTAGTAACCTCTTCTCCTGTATATATTACTAAATGTAAAAGGAGAAACTTTCGTTTTTCCTTTTGGGCCACCCCGCCTCGGTGGGATACGGCTGGTGTGTTGAAAGAAAGAAAGAACATCTAGGTTTTTCTCCTTTTTCTAAATAGCTCTTGTTCTTTTTTTTATTTCTTCTATTGTCCATGGGGAAGTGGAAAAGAATCTTTCCTCCGTAAGCCATGCGTGTCGTATGAGGCGACTAAAATGCCGGGAGCAATGGGCTAGTAACCCCTTCTCCTGTATATATTTACTAAAAAAGAGAAGAAGAAAAACTTTATAAAACTGGGGTGCTTAAATGTGCGTGGATGTAGTGCGGATGACAAGAAACAGATGATTGCTGATGTTATGAATGAAAAGAGAGTTGGATGTCCTGGCTCTAAGCGAAACAAAGCTGAAGGGGGTAGGAGAGTTTCAGTGGGGGGAAATAAATGGGATTAAATCTGGAGTATCTGAGAGAGTTAGAGCAAAGGAAGGGGTAGCAGTAATGTTAAATGATCAGTTATGGAAGGAGAAAAGAGAATATGAATGTGTAAATTCAAGAATTATGTGGATTAAAGTAAAGGTTGGATGCGAGAAGTGGGTCATAATAAGCGTGTATGCACCTGGAGAAGAGAGGAATGCAGAGGGAGAGAGAGAGATTTTGGGAGATGTTAAGTGAATGTATAGGAGCCTTTGAACCAAGTGAGAGAGTAATTGTGGTAGGGGACCTGAATGCTAAAGTAGGAGAAACTTTTAGAGAGGGTGTGATAGGTAAGTTTGGGGTGCCAGGTGTAAATGATAATGGGAGCCCTTTGATTGAACTTTGTATAGAAAGGGGTTTAGTTATAGGTAATACATATTTTAAGAAAAAGAGGATAAATAAGTATACACGATATGATGTAGGGCGAAATGACAGTAGTTTGTTGGATTATGTATTGGTAGATAAAAGACTGTTGAGTAGACTTCAGGATGTACATGTTTATAGAGGGGCCACAGATATATCAGATCACTTTCTAGTTGTAGCTACACTGAGAGTAAAAGGTAGATGGGATACAAGGAGAATAGAAGCATCAGGGAAGAGAGAGGTGAAGGTTTATAAACTAAAAGAGGAGGCAGTTAGGGTAAGATATAAACAGCTATTGGAGGATAGATGGGCTAATGAGAGCATAGGCAATGGGGTCGAAGAGGTATGGGGTAGGTTTAAAAATGTAGTGTTAGAGTGTTCAGCAGAAGTTTGTGGTTACAGGAAAGTGGGTGCAGGAGGGAAGAGGAGCGATTGGTGGAATGATGATGTAAAGAGAGTAGTAAGGGAGAAAAAGTTAGCATATGAGAAGTTTTTACAAAGTAAAAGTGATGCAAGGAGGGAAGAGTATATGGAGAAAAAGAGAGAGGTTAAGAGAGTGGTGAAGCAATGTAAAAAGAGAGCAAATGAGAGAGTGGGTGAGATGTTATCAACAAATTTTGTTGAAAATAAGAAAAAGTTTTGGAGTGAGATTAACAAGTTAAGAAAGCCTAGAGAACAAATGGATTTGTCAGTTAAAAAATAGGAGAGGAGAGTTATTAAATGGAGAGTTAGAGGTATTGGGAAGATGGAAGGAATATTTTGAGGAATTGTTAAATGTTGATGAAGATAGGGAAGCTGTGATTTCGTGTATAGGGCAAGGAGGAATAACATCTTGTAGGAGTGAGGAAGAGCCAGTTGTGAGTGTGGGGGAAGTTCGTGAGGCAGTAGGTAAAATGAAAGGGGGTAAGGCAGCCGGGATTGATGGGATAAAGATAGAAATGTTAAAAGCAGGTGGGGATATAGTTTTGGAGTGGTTGGTGCAATTATTTAATAAATGTATGGAAGAGGGTAAGGTACCTAGGGATTGGCAGAGAGCATGCATAGTTCCTTTGTATAAAGGCAAAGGGGATAAAAGAGAGTGCAAAAATTATAGGGGGATAAGTCTGTTGAGTGTACCTGGTAAAGTGTATGGTAGAGTTATAATTGAAAGAATTAAGAGTAAGACGGAGAATAGGATAGCAGATGAACAAGGAGGCTTTAGGAAAGGTAGGGGGTGTGTGGACCAGGTGTTTACAGTGAAACATATAAGTGAACAGTATTTAGATAAGGCTAAAGAGGTCTTTGTGGCATTTATGGATTTGGAAAAGGCGTATGACAGGGTGGATAGGGGGGCAATGTGGCAGATGTTGCAAGTGTATGGTGTAGGAGGTAGGTTACTGAAAGCAGTGAAGAGTTTTTACGAGGACAGTGAGGCTCAAGTTAGAGTATGTAGGAAAGAGGGAAATTTTTTCCCAGTAAAAGTAGGCCTTAGACAAGGATGTGTGATGTCACCGTGGTTGTTTAATATATTTATAGATGGGGTTGTAAGAGAAGTAAATGCGAGGGTCTTGGCAAGAGGCGTGGAGTTAAAAGATAAAGAATCACACACAAAGTGGGAGTTGTCACAGCTGCTCTTTGCTGATGACACTGTGCTCTTGGGTGATTCTGAAGAGAAGCTGCAGAGATTGGGGGAAATGAATTTGGTAGGGTGTGCAAAAGAAGAAAATTAAAGGTGAATACAGGAAAGAGTAAGGTTATGAGGATAACAAAAAGATTAGGTGATGAAAGATTGAATATCAGATTGGAGGGAGAGAGTATGGAGGAGGTGAACGTATTCAGATATTTGGGAGTGGACGTGTCAGCGGATGGGTCTATGAAGGATGAGGTGAATCATAGAATTGATGAGGGAAAAAGAGTGAGTGGTGCACTTAGGAGTCTGTGGAGACAAAGAACTTTGTCCTTGGAGGCAAAGAGGGGAATGTATGAGAGTATAGTTTTACCAACGCTCTTATATGGGTGTGAAGCGTGGGTGATGAATGTTGCAGCGAAGAGAAGGCTGGAGGCAGTGGAGATGTCATGTCTGAGGGCAATGTGTGGTGTGAATATAATGCAGAGAATCGTAGTTTGGAAGTTAGGAGGAGGTGCGGGATTACCAAAACTGTTGTCCAGAGGGCTGAGGAAGGTTGTTGAGGTGGTTCGGACATGTAGAGAGAATGGAGCGAAACAGAATGACTTCAAGAGTGTATCAGTCTGTAGTGGAAGGAAGGCGGGGTAGGGGTCGGCCTAGGAAGGGTTGGAGGGAGGGGGTAAAGGAGGTTTTGTGTGCGAGGGGCTTGGACTTCCAGCAAGCATGCGTGAGCGTGTTTGATAGGAGTGAATGGAGACAAATGGTTTTTAATACTTGACGTGCTGTTGGAGTGTGAGCAAAGTAACATTTATGAAGGGATTCAGGGAAACCGGCAGGCCGGACTTGAGTCCTGGAGATGGGAAGTACAGTGCCTGCACTCTGAAGGAGGGGTGTTAATGTTGCAGTTTAAAAACTGTAGTGTAAAGCACCCTTCTGGCAAGACAGTGATGGAGTGAATGATGGTGAAAGTTTTTCTTTTTCGGGCCACCCTGCCTTGGTGGGAATCGGCCAGTGTGATAATAAAAAAAAAAAATAATAATATGGAGGCAAAGAAGGGAATGTATGAAAGTATAGTAGTACCAACACTCTTATATGGGTGTGAAGCTTGGATTGTAAATGCTGCAGCGAGGAGGCGGTTGGAGGAAGTGGAGATGTCCTGTCTAAGAGCAATGTGTGGTGTAAATATTATGCAGAAAATTTGGAGTGTGGAAATTAGGAGGTGTGGAGTTAATGTAACTATTAGTCAGAGGGCTGAAGTGGGTTTGTTGAGGTGGTTTTGTCATTTAGAGAGAATGGATCAAAATAGAATGACATGCAGAACGTATAAATCTGTAGGGGAAGGAAGGTGGGGTAAGAGTCGTCCTCAAAAAGGTTGGAGGAAGGGGGTAAAGGAGGTGTTGTGGGCGAGGGGTTTGGACTTCCAGCAAGCGTGCGTGAGCGTGTTAGATAGGAGTGAATGGAGACAAATGGTATTTGGGACCTGACGAGCTGTTGGAGTGTGAGCAGGGTAATATATAGTGAAGGGATTCAGGGAAACCAGTTATTTTATATAACTGGACTTGAGTCCTGGAAATGGGAAGTACAATGCCTGCACTCTAATGGAGGGGTTTGGGATATTGGCAGTTTGGAGGGATATACTGTGTATTTTTATATGTATATATACGTATATATATAGGGGTCGTCCTCGAAAGGGTTGGAAAGAGGGGGTAAAGGAGGTTTTGTGGGCGAGGGGCTTGGACTTCCAGCAAGCGTGCATGAGCGTGTTAGATAGGAGTGAATGGAGACGAATGATACTTGGGACCTGACGATCTGTTGGAGTGTGAGCAGGGTAATATTTAGTGAAGGGATTCAGGGAAACCGGTTATTTTCTTATAGTCGGACTTGAGTCCTGGAAATGGGAAGTACAATGTCTGCACTTTAAAGGAGGGGTTTGGGATATTGGCAGTTTGGAGGGATATGTTGTGTATCTCTATACATATATGTTTCTAAACTGTTGTATTCTGAGCACCTCTGCAAAAACAGTGATTATGTGTGAGTGTGGTGAAAGTGTTGAATGATGATGAAAGTATTTTCTTTTTGGGGATTTCTTTCTTTTTGGGTCACCCTGCCTCGGTGGGAGACGGCAGACTTGTTGAAAAAAAAAAAAATCACAACCAAATGTGAAATACAAACCCAAATGCTATCGATGCTGTTCCTGCCACAGCCCTAACTATGGTATTAAAGTTGCTGGTACAACACCATGTATAGTGCTAATGTGAGAATAGTGAGAATAATGTATATATATTAGATCCTTGGTTACTTATGACTGTGTTAATATTAGCTAAGGAAAATTCTCTATGGGCTTTGGTACTAATGCAAAATGAATCCTTCAGAATTATTCTTGGCTGTCCTAAATCTACCAAGGTTCTTAATATGAGGAAGGAGTTTGGTATTCCAAGTATCAGTAGTAGTACACTATGAGAGTTCTTAATCTGAGGAAGGAGTTTGGTGTTGCTAGTGTTAGTGATAGGACCATTGAGATTAATGCTGTACTTGGTATTAAAATGTTAGGAAATGAACCAGACACTGCCACTCCAAATCTTACTAAATGTCTAGAAGAAAATACACACAGATTTAAATGGGTTGTGAAAACATGCAATCATATTTAGTTTTATAACCTATATGAACAGTATCACTGTAGACAACAAGAGCATTTCACCCCTCCATGGAAGATGTCTTCTTTCTTTCTTTCTTTCAACAAACTGGCTGTATCCCACCAAGGCAGGGTGGCCCAAAAAGAAAAACGAAAGTTTCTCTTTTTAAATTTAGTAATTTATACAGGAGAAAGGGTTATGGAAGATGTATTCATTTTATATCAAATACCTGCAAGACCCTCCCAAGAAGCTCATCACTACTAATCCCTTCCTCAAGACTTCAATCTTATGCTTCAGTTTCATATTGTTCCTTGTCAATTCTACTGCCTGTAATCTATTGTCTGCATTTCACTGAAGAAGCCTACTGAGAAGGCAAAATGTTTCAATAATAAAGATACCCAACTGTTGTACATGTGTCTTATTCACCACCAAGGTATGGTAACTCAAAGAAAGAAACACATTCACCATCACTCATTCAGTTGCTGTCTTGCCAGCAGTGCTTACCTCCAAGTTATGGTGACTAAGAAGAAAGCACATCTGCTGTCACTTCCGACTACCCTACCTTAACAGGAAACTGCTGATGAGAAAAAAATCTTAATCCATTAGCATTACAAAATAGCAAGAAAAAGGAAGAGGATTTGTTAAAAGACCTGACCTTAAGTCCGATATCTGTCCAGGAGAATATGAAGTGTAGTTTGAATAGATGTGACCGGTGACCAAGTAGTCCAAGACAGCATCACCCAGGAATTCTAGCCTTTGGTAGCAGTCAGTTACCTGCAACACAAAGAACAATTACACATGACTGTAGTGAACTACTTAAGAAATCCCACTTAACAGTCAATGCCTAATTCTTAAATAGTCCTTAAGCATTAGGAATAGCTTCCCTGAAATGCACTGCATGCTAGTTGCTTTCTTTGTGCTTAACAATGTTTTATTACATGTAAAGTACATTATTTTGTACCACATAAAGAAATAAAGTCACACTAACCAGAAGTGGAGCAGGACGGCTATATATAGCCGTCCTGCTCCACTTCTGGTTAGTGTGACTTTGTCAATGGTTCAAGTCGGACCGAAACATCGTCGTAAGCTTCTCTCTTTTATGTGCGGGTTATTTGTGTATCGTTCCAGTCACGGTATTGTGCCTTTTTTGTTATTTAAAGAAATAAAAATTTGCATTTGTATTTTGTAACAGATGTGACTGGTGATAAAGTAGTTCACGACAGCATCATCCAGGAACCCTAGCGTCTGGTAACAGTCAGTGACCCACAACATCCACATCACCATTTTTTTTTTCCAACACACTGGCCGTATCCCAGCAAGGTAGGGCGACTTAAAACGAAAAACAAAAGATTTTCTTTTTAATTTTAGTAATTTATACAGGAGAAGGGGTTACTAGCCCTTTACTCCCAGCATTTTAGTTGCCTCATCACCATCATTATAGTAACTAATGTAATGTAAGAAACTAGGAATAAATGACAGTATTAAAGTTCATAAAAGTTTTGTATACACTGGCTCTTTCCCACCCAGATGGAGTGACTCAGGGAAGGAAGCACTTTCATCTTTTTTTTTTTCCAGAAGTGTATGGATGTCACATTTGGGACTCTTTGAACAACTTGCACTCCTTTCAGAGTGCAGGTGCTGCACTGCACACCTCCAGCATTCAAGTTTGGCTAAATTGTTTCCATTTAGCACTCCAACAGCACATCAAATCACAAAACCCACTTGTCTCCACTTCAATTTAACCCTTTCACTGCCCAGACTCCCAAAATTAATAGTGCTCTTAGTGTCCACATTTTATTTTTTAAATATTTTTCTTCTGAAATGGTAGAAATCTTTTTCTGAAGGTAATAACACCAAAAGTACAAAATTTGACACTAAACTTGTGGAATTACGCAGGCACAAAGTTTGTGGTCTTAACGCAATTTATGCATTTGCAATTTTACCCACTGAGTCCTCTATTAAGCCAATTCCATCCTCCCAATTTACCAAATTCTTAGCTATTTTGCTAGTATACCTTCTGTTCTATCGACTGAGCACAAGAAACTGCCTATTCAATTATTTTAACTATCCCATTAAGTGCACAGAAGTTGGGAATTTGTCCAATATTACACAAAATTAAAAAATGCCAATTTCAAAGTAATAATAAACAAACAATGTAGACATTCCTGGTACTACAACATTTCTTCAGTTCATTAGTCACATCCTCAGGCCTCTCCTATATTGCACTTGCCTTCTATTTTGAGTTCTTAATCACACAAAAATAGAAAATTTACTCTATTTCTCAAATAATAAAATATAACCAGAAATGATTAGTCATAGTTTACAGCATCCCAATAACTGTACCAGACCTATTAAAAAACCATAAAACAGACTGAAGAGCAGAGGATGTAGGAGAGAAGCCTTACTCACTCTCTGAAATATCGGCTAAAATTGAATATTTCCGCTATTTTGAGCTCAATTTCGAGGTACTATCCGTCCTGAAATCAATCAAGATCATCTCTATATCAGTAGTATATCTTTCATTTTATCAAATGATACCAAGAAACAGTTAATAAAGCCATAAAAACTATTCAAGATTTTGCTAGTTTAACCCTTTCAGGGTCGACAGGGCCTCTCAGAGATTTGTTCTCAGGGTCGCCCAAATTTCAAAAAAAAAAAAAAAAATTATTTTTTCTTATGAAAAGATAGAGAATCTTTTCCCGATCATAACAGCACCAAAAATATGAAATTTGATGGAAAACTTATGGAATTATGCTCTCGTGAAGTTAGCTGTCTCGACGATGTTTACGCATCGGCGATTTGCCCACTTTGAGCCCTATTTTTGGCCAATTCCACTGTACTAATCGACAAAAATCATAACTATTTCTCTAGAACTCCATTTTTTCTATCGAATGAGTGCAAGAAACCACCCATTTACCGATTTCAACTATCAAATACAGTGGTCAGAATTTAGCAATTTTACCAATTTCACACAAATTTCAAAAGATGCCAATTTCCAAATAGGGTCCAGAATAAACAAGAAAGACATTCCTGGCACTAAAATGACATTTTCTCTGTTCATTAGTCACGTCCCAACGCCCCTCTTACATTCTTTTGCTTTCCACTTTGAATTTTTATTCTCACAAAAAATAGAAGATTTACTGTTATGCAGACAACTGCATTAGTGTAAAAAATGGTATAAATAATATCAGCGCACTTGTGAAAGAATATTAGACTCACCAGTTGACGTGTATTGGATGCTTAGCATGATTTGTTTACTCTTGAACTTTGGTAAAAATCGAACATTTCTGCTACTTTGAGCTCAATTTCAATTGTAAAATCAGTCAAAATCATCTCAATTTCTGTAATATGTCTTCCATTCTATAGAACAAGACCAAGAAAACTAGAATGCAACAATCAATACCATACGAAAATACAGTGCAAAGTCGCTGTTTTAATCCAAAAACACGGTCAAAGTTTTTTTTCTCATTACGCACTGTGTTCTGCAAGATTTTTTTTATACTGCACACACTGACCACATAGACCCATTCTTTCATATGTAGGCCTACCAGCTTTCTCTCACTAGATTTGAGGGCGCTAGAATTTAGGCGTACTAGTACGTCAAAAGCCCTGGTGCGTAAGCTGTACTAGTATGGCTGAAACCCTGAGAGGGTTAAACCACATATGGTCACAGTTTTGCTTTTCCCATCATGCACTCTATGGGGCAAATTTTTTTTTCTGCAGTGAAACTGCAGAAACTCATTCTCTCATATCTAGGCCAAAATTTACCACTCACAGCTTATCTGAGTGAGCTGAGCTCATGACATAAAACTATGTGAGGGGCCCTGGCCTAAATGACGTAGTTCTATGTGATGGCCAATGAAAGGGTTAACATGCGTAGACTTATCTGCTGGATGCTCAAGCCCATACCACTTAAAATCCCTTGTTACATCTGCCCAAAATATATACGCCCTCTTGGTTAATTTTCACAATACCACAAAGTCTTCAAATGTATACAAACCTCATTCTCAACATAATATTCATGCTAAACTAAGCTCTGCAATACCTCCACTGTCTCCAGTCTCTTCCTCCTCCTCACTGTCTCCAGTCTCCTCCTCCTCCTCCTTGCCTCCAGCCACCTTCTCAAAATAAAAGTTCCTTGTTAGGAACTGTGTGTTACAGCCTGCACAATAAACACTGTAGTAACACTGTACCTTATTAGGAGAGTAGGAACTGTGTGTTACAGCCTGAACAATAAAGCTTTTATCATTAAAGCTGTACTTTATTGCTTTCTCTAAGCGATCAAGACAAGCGATCCTGTAGTACCGTCTGATCTCACTCTCGGCTTGTTGAGCATCTTGGCTCACCACCGCAGACGGTACATCCAGCTGAGATTTAAGCAAAGACTCTCCCTAAAATTAAAAAATTTCACAATAAATATTAACAATGCTACTACTACTACTAATAATAATAATACATATATGCATGTTGCATTTACATTTATAAGCATCAAGACTACATGTGCTAGGAATACACATTTATATAAGATACACAATTCAGTATAACTGTAGTGTGCCTACATTATACACATCAGCACATTTATTCATATACAACAGTCTACATACCTAATATTTTACAGTATACTTACATTACAGACACCAAGACCAAGCTTATGCAGAAAGTTGATGGCAGCATCAGTGCCACCGGTAAGCAGGTAAGCACCAATGAGTGCTTCAACACTGTCAGCGATGCTTTTATCTGACAACATGTGTTGACTCCAGGGATTGTAGCAGCAGCTTCCAGTGTTATTCTTACTCTCCTTCCCTTCTGAATCAATTTCCATCTCCTCGGCCTCCTGCAACATTGACCACAACAATCAAAAGTTTGAGAATGCAAAACTATAGAGGAAAAATATGAAATATTTATGTATTATAAATTTTAAGACAAGGAAAAGGCACAAAGATAGAAAGTTTAGAGAAAAATAAAACTCAAAATAATAAGGCTGAACAATTCATCAACTAACCCCACAATTTGGAGAGACTTTAGACTTTATTTCAATTTGTCCTGAACCATTATTAATTTACCATTGTGATTTAACAGTGGTGTCTGACAGAGCATGAAATTTAGAGCTCTAAGTCATGAACCATAAGCAAGTCACCAAGACCTACCTGCTGCAAGTTGTTCAGGTCATCAATACAAGGGCCAACCTGCTGCAGGTTCTTCAGGTCATAAATACAAGGACCTACCTGCTGTGGGGTGTTCAGGTTCACAAAGAATACATGGACCTACCCGCTATAGGTTGTTCAGGTTCACTAAGAATACAACGACCTACATGCTGCTGGTTGTTCAAGTTCACAAAGAATACAAGGACCTACCTGCTGCGGGGTGTTCAGGTCACAAAGAATACAAGGACCTACCTGCTGCAGGTTGCTCAGGTTCACAAAGCTTAAAAGGATGTACCTGTTTCAGGTCGTCCAGGTTATCAACACGAGCCCACTTGTCATAAGCAACATCGTATCTCCTCAGTTGTTCATTAACCTTGGGCTTCATTAAGAACCCTGGCAGGAAACCATTAACAGGGGGTTCCAAGTTAACTGACTGGATCTTCTGTGGTACTGCTTTTAACTTTGCCAGGGAAAACAGAGTTCTGTTGCAGATGAGTTTTCCTCGACGCTGAGTGAGTCTACCTTCGTGGTTCTTTGTCTCTTTCAGAAATAAATATTCCGAGGTGATGTACTTGAGGAAAGAATCTCCGAGAACTTCCAATCTTTCCAGATCGAAGTTATCATTGGCGCCACGAAGAGTGAGAGCATGGAGTAACGCAAATGGATGCATAAAATCACTCTTCCTTTCCACTAAAGACACACATAAATTCTGCTGAGTCTCCCTTGTTCTTGCAATTACTTCTTCACTCCAATTGAAAATTATTTTGTGGTCTAAACATTCTGAGGTCAACCCTGAGTCGCTTATGGTAGCATTGAGCTGGTGCGCCAAATTTAGACTATTGAGGCGATGAAGTATGGAAGGAATGCACATGACTTGCCACCAGAGAGAAGCCTTCAGAGGCAGTATGCCACACAGCTCTGGCACAAGCTTCACAGAATCACTGTTAAGCTTCTTTTTCTGTTTATAAGAGGATGGAGGCTTCAAGTAGTTGAGTTCTTTAGGTACATGTTTTGCTGCTAATAAAGGCTGCTGCATGTTAGAAATTTTCGCATCATATTTCTGGATGTAGTAGTCAAAGTAAGAGGTGCACAGTTTCTTAGACCTAGGAAACTCTGCTTGTGGAGTATAGTTGGTCAATATTTGTTTAACATAGAACATGCGGACAGTTTTTCCTGTTTTATACAAGGGATATATTATAGCATCCTCATAACAAGAACTCTGAAAACTGAAAGATCCTGCTTGTGAGCTACACACAATAGGTGCTCTAAGAGATTCCAAACTGCATACCTGATTTAGAACATCCATATCAATGGTGCTGGCTTGTCCCATTGGTACAACATATACACCTGAGCCTTTAGCATTAAAATCAAAAAGCACTGAATTGATCTGCAGCAATGTTTCAAAAATTAACTTGTGGAAGTGCTCAATTCTGCTCATCAACTCAGGACTTTCGCCACTAATTTCCTTAATAAATTCCAATTTAACTTCCACCTCTCCCCATTTAGGGTAATAGAGTGTGAATGGACAATGTATCAAGTTGCCTTGGCAAATCAGTCCAAGTGATACATCACTCTTTGTGGAATTTATGAGCAGATCAGTAGCTTGTGTACCTGTTGGCTGAATGGTAATAAAATAGAGCTTATATACTCCTTCATCAAGATGAGTAAATGCTTGGCATACCTCTTTGTCATAAACTTGCCGTCTCTTCTGGTGCCAGGCTGGGGTTCCCCAGCCTTGATGGGTGCTTCTGGAGGAACATCTACTAGACCTTCCAATAAGCTATCATCTGATATCTCAGCTGGCCTCAAGTGGTGGTCTAACTCTCCTATCTCATGCAACTTTTTGCAAAGGCAGAGTGCTGCACTTTTCTTAGCCAAGTCTTTATTTTCCATGCAGTCCCCTTGCACGTTGTCCCTGAAGCAAGCATTGATGGGTAACTTTATCTCAGCTACACACCCGCCCTCACTCTTCTTGTAGACAACTTCTGGCGTCAGCAGTGTAAACTTGTCCTGAGGTAACTTACCACAGTATACATTAATAAGTGGTATAGCAGAATTAATAGTGACTTTGGGCCCTTCAACACCATAAGGTTCATAGGGAGCAATATATTCGTCTTCAGCAAAGTGGGTGCTGGCCTCTGCACTTGTTGGTAATTGACGATCATGACACGACTGTGTCAAGAAGCCTTCAATTTCCCTATAAACCTCCACTGTTTCAAGCAGATCTTTTAGTTCACTCTCCTTGACCATAATTAAGTACCTTGATGGATGTGCACGGGCTCGTCCTCTCGACTGCACATAGGAACGATAGTTTAGTGGCCTGTCGAAGCGTATAACTACATTGCACTTTCTAATATCTACACCTTCTTCTAACACACTAGTTGTAACTATAAAATTGCAGTCCCCATTACGAAATTTATTCAGTGTTTCCTTCTGCTTGAAAGTTCCAGTTGAGCCAAGCGAATATCAAAGCCCAAGCGAGAATTTGAACCCACAACATACAAGGGTTTTACAAATGCAAAATCATCACTTTCTTTAGCAGCCTCTAGCAATAAATCATAGAGAATTTTAGCAGTATTTCTCCTCTCAACAAAGATCAGTCCATACACCTCCTCTTTACATACACTAAATATTTCATATAACTTCTTAACCTTGTTGGAAACATGCATAAGAGGGCCCATTATGGTTTCCTCTTTTGTACAGAAGTCGTATATTTCTTTAAGCTTCTCTCTGAGCATTGCAATTAATTCCCGAACCGTGGGAACATCCTCGATCTGCTCCATAATGTCAAGGTGATCAATCTCATACATAATAGCCCGAGAGACGCACCAGTCTCCTAGACTGTCCATGATGTGAATAATATTCTCCATTTTTTTCTTAACCATTGTCTTGGATTTCTTTTTAATATCTTGCTGACACTTTGCATCTTCTATAATTGTTTGTAACCGAGCCCTAATTGACTCTCGGTACTCAGAAGCTTCATCAGAGTCATAACAAATTACTTTCTCCTTTGGACCAGTACTATATTTAACAACTTCATTATGATCAGTAGTCGTCACTAATGCACAATCCATTGCAGTTTCCAGTTTCTTCATCAGGCCTATCGCTTCATTCTTTTTACACTTACGATGAATGACACAAGCTGTCAGCCCTAGAACTCTAGGACATTTCACAGGGAAAGATGCCTTCACCTTCTCGTACTCTCTCATGATCTGTCGCATGGGGTGTGACCCAGTTGTGTGATGACACTCATCCATAATGATCAGGTTGACTGAGGACAATGGTAACTTGGCATGAAGAACTAATTCCTTGAAGATTTCTGCAACCATCACAAGCACCTCATTCTTCTCCAGTTCTTCGAACCACTGTGAGAGAACAACACACAACTCAGGAATAATACTAGATACAAAAATTTCTGATATTTCCTGTGTCTGGCTTAACCTGAGCAAAAACTCAATGTGTGTGCATAAAGACCCAAAAGCTAGAACTCTCTACCTGACAACTCTCAGTCTCTCTCTGTCTGCCAGCTGCTTCAAAGATACAGAAGGGCTCTGCTTATACAGCAGGTTAGGTTCCGGGCTACCGCTGTAAACTGAAAATCGCTGTAAAGTAAAACAAACCTTTTTCATTTTCAAATGGTATACAGAAGCTTGATAACATATTTACACTATCATATATTAAGTGAGCAATAGAGTTAGGTATAAAAAAATGCATGAACAGTACACATATTACTTATCTTAAAATATTTTAGTCCTTAGCTTATAGCGAGTAGTGAATATATTTATTGTACGAAGTCTGAATAAATGAAGAATAGGTATAACTGAAAACTGCATTACAGTGGACCCCCGGTTAACGAACTTTTTTCATTCCAGTAGTATATTCAGGTGCCAGTACTGACCGAATTTTTTCCCATAAGGAATATTGTGAAGTAGATTAGTCCATTTCAGACCCCCAAACATACACGTACAAACGCACTTACATAAATACACTTACATAATTGGTCGCATTTGGAGGTGATCGTTAAGCGGGGGTCCACTGTATTAGCAAAATGCTGTAAAGTAAAGCAATATTCTTTCAACCTGTATTGTCCATCCTCGTTCATTATTCATTCATCTTGTGTACCTAGTGTCATCTTTAACATATCGCTAATTCTATTTTTTTTATTGAATTACTAAATACAGTGGACCCCCGGTTAACGATATTTTTTCATTCCAGAAGTATGTTCAGGTGCCAGTACTGACTGAATTTGTTCTCATAAGGAATATTGTGAAGTAGATTAGTCCATTTCAGACCTCCAAACATACACGTACAAACGCACTTACATAAATACACTTACATAATTGGTCGCATTGGGAGGTGATCGTTAAGCGGGGGTCCACTCTACCTCCAATATTTTAAAAACTACGTATTCTTATTCTCATACATTTGTAATAAAAATTTAGTGTTATGGCTACCCAAAATGATTTGCATAACAAGGGGCTGTCTATATTTCAAGTACAGTGGACCCTCAGTTAATGGCAGCATCAGCCAACGGCAAAATAAGTTAGCACCACGTTTTTGCATCAAAATATTGGCTCAGCTAACGCCCAAGAACTCGGTTAAGGGCATTCATCCAGAACGTGTCCGTGCAGCCTGAGCTGCCCGCGGCTGTCCGTCCACTCCACGTACAGGTAGTGCCATTGTTTACAAGCCAATGAAGACGATTCCACGCGTACATGAGATAGATTTTGTATTATTCCATTGTTTTTAGTGCTTGTAACTGCTCAATAAGCCACCATGGGCCCAAAGAAAGCTTCTAGTGCCAACCTTGTGGTAAAGAGGGTGAGAAATACTATTGAAATGAAGAAAGATCATCACAAAATACGAGAGTGGAGTGAGTGTCTCCGAGTTGGCCAGGTTATATAACAAATCCCATTCAACCATCACTACTATATTGGCCAACAAAAAGGCAATCATGGAAGCAGTTGTTGCGAAAGATGCAAGTGTGCTTACAAAACAGAGATCGCAAATACTCAAAAGATGTGGAGAGACTGTTGTTGGTGTGGATCAACGAGAAACAATTATCTGGAGATAGTGTTTCTCAGTCAATAATGTGTGAAAAGGTAAGGCAGTTGCATGCAGATCTCCTTAAGAAAATGCCTCCAAATAGTGCTGATATTGACGAATTTAAGGCCAGCAAAGGCTGGTTTGAGAGATTTAAGAATCATAGTGGCATACAGTGTGATAAGGTATGGTGAGGCTGCCAGTTCTGACAAAAAGGCGGCTGAAAAATATGTGCAGGACTTTAACCCCTAAACGGTCCAAACGTATATATACGTTCTTACGCGTAGCGCCCCAAATGTATATATACGTTTTAATTTTCCTGCCTCCAAATTTGGCACGATTGCCCTGAGATGCTTGGTCAGCATAGACTGGGTCTTAACACTCTGTGTGCACCATATTAAAAAAATCTGGGACCATTTAGTACCTTGTGGGAGTGCCAGTTAAATTGAGCGCCAGCTGCAAACACCAAGGATTCACTGATGTAACGTCATATTGACACTCCTCTTTTAAGAGGAAAGTGATGTTACCCCCAAGTTTAGAGTCTATCTATCTCTGTCTATTTGTGTCTATCTCTGTCTATCTGTCTTTGTCTATCTGTCTCTGTCTATCTCTTTCAATCTGTCTCTGTCTATCTCTGTCTCACAGGTACACATAAATACAAGTATACATAGTGTAAATTACCTAGGATAACCCAATAAATCCAGACAAAGTGCTATACTCTGCTTAAAGATATGAGTAAACGTGATGACGCAGTCTTGTGGCTCTCTCTGAGGCAGAGAACTAGACTGATAGACAGATAGACAGGGAGCTTGACAGACAGAAAAATAGACAGACATGTTTGTGTACCAGCGAAAACAAAGCCAGGGCGATGCTCATCAAATGTCATCTCTAATCTTTTCTTATCAAGTGTTATCGCTGCACCCTCGCATATGCTCATCAAACGTCAGCTCTTATCAAATGTTATCTCATCTTATCATGTCACTGTCAGGGGTGGACTTTGTTTTTCATGCTTCAAGGGAACTTATTATTACCTATTATTTATTATTATGTATTCTTCTCCTCCTCCACCCAGGACACAAGCCTATGAAAGACAGGCTAACTCTCATGTTTTGTTGTAATGCTAGTAGGGATTGCAAAGTGAAGCCTCTGCTCATGTATCATTCTGAAACTACCAGAGCGTTCAAGAAAAACAGTGTCGTTAAGCCTAAATTGTGTGTGATGTGGAGAGCAAACAGTAAGGTATGGGTTACTAGGGGTATTTTCCATGATGGGTTCTATGATATGTTTGGCCCCAGTGTGAAAAAATGCCTCCTGGAAAATAAATTGGAACTCAAGTGCCTCCTGGTATTAGACAATGGTCCTGCTCATCCTCCAGACTTGGAAAAGCGAATTGTGGGGGAGTTTATTTTCATCAAAGTGAAATTTTTGCCCCCTAACACCACTCCTCTCCTCCAGCTTGTGGACCAGTAGGTCATTTCAAATTTCAAAAAACTGTACACCAAAGCAGTGTTTCAAAAGTGCTTTGAAGTGGCTTCAGACATTGAATTGACCCTAAGAGAGTTCTGGAAAGATCACTTCAGTATCCTCAGTTGAATAAACTTTATAGGTAGGTCTTGGGATGGAGTGACTTCCAGGACTTTGAACTCTGCTTGGAGGAAATTGTGGCCAGAAAGTGCACAAGAGAGGGATTTTGAAGGGTTTGAGGCTAACCCTGAGGAGCCTATGACAGTTATGGAATCTATTGTGTCATTGGGGAAGTCCATGGGGTTGGAGGTTAGTGGCAAGGATGTGGAAGAGTTGGTGGAGGACGAAGATGAAGAGCTAACCACTGATGAGCTGCAAGAGCTTGAGGAGAAACAGCAACAGACCACAGCACAGGAATTTCCTTCGGAGGAGAAGGAAGAGAGATGGAGGAAGTTGCCTCGTCAAAGATTAAGGACATTTGTACACTGTGGACAAAGGTGCAAGCATTTATGGATGAACATTACCTTGACACAGCTGTTGCAAGCCGTACTGGCAACATGTACAATGACACTATTGTGTCCCATTTTAGGGAAATCTTAAAGAGACACCAGAAACAGAGCTCTCTGGACAGATTTCTGGTGCGACAGGGGTTCAGCGACTCTCAAGCTGGTCCTAGTGGCACTAAAAAACAAAGAAGGGAGGTAACCCAAGAAAAGGACTTGTTACCCGAAGTCTTTATGGAAGGCGATTCCCCATCCAAACAACTGTAAACTCCTCCATCCTCTGCCCTCTTCCTATCTCATCACTCATCAATAAATCCTCAGTAAAGGTAAGTGTCATTTCAGTATTGCTTATTCTGCATGTCTCATTGTTTTCTGTGTAGGGAAATGTATGTTTCATGTAAAAAAATTATTTTGTTTAATTTAATACTTTTGGGTGTTTGGAACGGATTAATTGGATTTCCATTATTTCTTATGGGGAAAATTAATTCCTATAACGTCAAAATCTGTTAAAGGCAAGCTCTCTGGAACGGATTAATGCCGTTATCCGAGGGTCCACTGTACCATAATTTTATAATATACTGTACTCATTCTACAGAAATTAAGTTCAAGGGTGGGTAGGGCATTCCATCTTGTTTTATTGCTTTTTTGCTACATTGGACTCAATTACTGACAAAGTCTAAACCATGACAGTAATCTGAATTATATTAAAAAGAAATCAAAGTGCCAAAGTCAAAAGTATTTCATAAAAATTCTATAAGGCACCTAAAGCCAAAATGGAATATTGCAGCCATGACCCACCTTCTCAGGAGTCCAAAAATCCACGCCCATCGAGCCTTCGTACCTGCCCACCTGCAGTCCAGTGTGTGTCTCTATTGCAAGTGCTTGTTGATGTACCAAGGGCACCGTGTTCACCACAAACACTGTACGCTTGTTACCCTCAGACAATAGTCCACGAATCTAGGGAGTAAATTATTATTATTATTCCTAGGTAGGAGGTTGGTAGACAGCAACCACCAAGGAGAAACTACCATCCTGTGGTAGCAGGTTGGTAGATAGCAATGACCCAGCGAGGTACTACCATCCTGTGGTACTAGGTTGTTAGACAGCAACCACCCAGGTAGGTACTACCATCCTGCCAAGTGAGTGTGAAATGGAAACCTGTAATTATTTTACATGATGGCAGGATTGCTGGCATCTCTTTTTCCGTCTCATAAACACAGAGGACAACAGGTATATCTTGCAACTTCTACTTATTCTTTGGTCACACTACACATGCATGCGCACGCACGCACGCACATGCACACGCATATATATATATATATATATGCAAAACAACCACTGTAAAAGAATAGAGAAATTCCAAGCGCTTTCGTGACTACTCACATTATCAAGGAACAATGAAAGTAAAGCATCAAAGGAAGGTATATAAAGGGGTAGCCCACACCTCACTATCAGATCCCACAACAAAAAAACACCTGACGCACGACTCATAAGAAAGGGAACACTGCAGCAGGCCCGCCGGCCCAACTAGACGAATTTGTAGTCCAGAGTTCATAGATAAGGAAATATCCAAAATTTATGAAATAGGTATTGATTTGAAATACCCAAGAAATGTAATTGATAAATCTTTTAAAGTTGCTAGAAATACTTTTTACAATCCAAAAAGGGACAACCAGCCTTATTCAACTAAAAATATGTTGGTTCCCCCTTACCATGAAAACTTGGTTGATATGCCTTCTCTTCTTAAGACTTTTAATATTAAAGTTGTATTCAAAAATCTTGATACAGTAAAAAAACTTTTGATAAAGAATTCCCCCCAAAATGCTGATGGATGTGTTTATCTATAAGATTCCTTGTAAAATTTGCGATAAAGTTTATTACGGTCAAACTGGTAAAAATCTTGAACTAAGATTAAAACAACATAAATATAGCATAGAACTGGACAAGATTCCAATGCTCTATTTATTCATCTAAGAGATTTTAACCATCTAATTGATTTTCAAAAAGTTGAGAAAGTAGTATCAAGCAAGTCCATGGTCGACAGGAATATAATTGAATCTTGTTTCATAAAAAACAGTTTTGACAATAATATGAATATTTCCTTTGGTTTATATAAATTAGATCCATTTATAATTAATAGAATTTGGGAAGAATTTAATAATACATTGGACAAATAATAATTTTTAAAATTCTTATTTCTTGGGTAGAATAGTTTGTTGGTGGGTTGTGTGAAGGACCTGTCTAGTTGGACCGGCGGGCCTGCTGCAGTGTTCCCTGTCTTATGAGTCGCGCATCAGGTGTTTCTTTGTTGTGGGATCTGATAGTGAGGTGTGGGCTACCCCTTTATATACCTTCCTTTGATGCTTTATTTTCATTGTTCCTTAATAATGTGAGTAGTCACGAAAGTGCTTGGAATTTCTCTATTCTTTCACAGTGGTTGTTTTGCATATTCTGAAATCACCTGTTTACTGTGATCTTATTGCATATATATATATATATATATATATATATATATATATATATATATATATATATATATATATATATATATATATATAATATATATATAATATATTTATATATATATATATATCACACATACACCCACTTGGGTTGTCTTCTATTTTCTTAATACAGTGGATCCTTGGTTTTCGTGAGTCTCAGTTTTCGTGAATTTTGGTTATAAGCAACTTTTTTCATCAAAATATAGCCTTGGTTTTTGTGATTTCCCATGGATTTCGGCGGTTGTACGGAACGTGTCCCAGTGGCCCCGCAGACACAAAGCCTCCTACAGACGCATTCTGAGTCATTCTGGCATTGTTTCTCGGCGAGTGAGCATCACCCCCCACATCCCACGTTCATAAGAAACATTTTGTAATAATCCATTGTTTTTTGTGCTTCCACCTGCTAAATAAGCCATCATGGGCCCAAAGAAAGTTCCTAGTGTCAGCCCTTTGGTAAAGAAGGTGAGAAACACAACAGAATTCAAGAAAGAAATCGCAGCAAAGTATCAAAGTAGAGGAGGAAGAGAGAGGGGAGAATGCGCCTTCTTCTTTGATTCTACAATATGTATGATACTAAAGCAGCAGGAGTCGATAAAGGGTATAGCGCCAGCCAGCGAAAAAGTGCAGCATTAACAGTGTAGCAAGTAAGTTAAGCAGTTAAGCAATAGAAAAAGAATGACACAAAACGTAACTCCTCCAATGTTATTGGAGGTATATAGGGTCACTGACAACACCGCCGACGCCACCACCACTATATGGCTTATGCTGCCAGTGGCCCTGATAACCAAACAATAAGACCACCACCACCACTTGTCACATACATAATAACATATTTTATTCATTCTAGAGTGTATATCATGCTTCTACGTTATTAATATTGTTTATTATGTCATATTAGATGAACTGTGATAGATAAATAAGCCGTAGAGTTGATATTAGCATCATATTCAAGCATTCTATCACGTCTCCAAACAATAAACTCTCCTCCCTCCCCCCTCCTCCCTGTCTTCCTTACACCAACAAGAGTCTTCAATACAGGTCAGTGTGATGTTAAATGTTCATTTATACATTTTATTAATTCTTTATATTGATTTGTCATTCTTTTCTGTATGTAAATCTATATTTAATCTCTAAAAAATAATTTTTTTGTTGATATTTTTGGGTGTCTGGAACAGATTAATTGGATTTACATTATTCTTTATGGGGAAAATGGTTTTGGTTTTCTTGAATTTTGGTTTTCGGCAAACTCTCTGGAGCAGATTAATCACGAAAACCAAGGGGCCACTGTAGTTTTGTGCTTTTTCGTTTCCTCTTGTCTCTGTGGGGAAGTGAAAAAGAATTCTTCCCCCGTAAGCCATGCGTGTTGTATGAGGTGACTAAAATGTCAGGAGCGAGGCACTAGTAACCCATTCTCTTATATAAATTGTGTAGTACTAAATTTAAAGAGAAAAATTTTTGTTTTTCATTTTACATCACCCTGCCTAGGTGGAATACAGCCGGTTCATTAAAAAAAAAATTATTACACAAATAACCCTCACATAAGAGAAAGAAGCTTATGACGATACTTCAGTCCAACTTGGACTCTGTAAATGTTCCAAGTCGGACCAAAACTCGTAAGCTTCTTTCTCTTATGTGGGTTATTTATGCATTGTTCCAGTCACGGTATTGTGCCTTTTTTGTTCTTCATTATTATTTAATGCTCCAGTCATCTCTCATTGAGATAGGGTAACAAGACAAAGAAAAAACACTCACTGTTGCTCATTCAATCACTATAATTATAATTATTATGAACATCAAAAATGGTATACAATACCGACAGGTTGTTAGGTAAGACACATATGCAACAGTTAGACAACTTTATTCCGAAACGTTTCGCCTACACAGTAGGCTTCTTCAGTCGAATACAGAAAATAGGCAGGAACAGTAGAGATGTGAAGACGATGTAATCAGTCCATAGTTCCTGACTATGGAACTGAACTTCTCCAGGCCGAGGGACTGACAACCTCAAATTCTACGACTACAAGGGTGATGGACTGATTACATCGTCTTCACATCTCTACTGTTCCTGCCTATTTTCTGTATTCGACTGAAGAAGCCTACTGTGTAGGCGAAACGTTTCGGAATAAAGTTGTCTAACTGTTGCATATGTGTCTTACATAATTATTATAATTATCATAATAATAATTATTAAATTCAAAGCAAGCATGAAACTCATGTGCATCAAATGCTAGGAAATCAGGTTTGATCCAAGGAAGAGGTGGGCTCTTCTATTTCTTTTTGTCGAGAGTCTTCCCCCAGTCTCAAGGAATCCTTGAATATAAAGGTAACTATGTAAATGACAACCAAAAGTCAATACAATCCACACATTTTTTTCAAACACTGCAAATTACATACATCTATACTTACAAACACAACACTTACAAATATAGCACTTACAAACTTAGAACTAACAAATGCAAAAATAGCACCTACAAACACAAACACAGAACCTACAAACACAATCACAGCCCCCTTCCATCACAGACACAGCCCCTTCCATCACAGACACAGCCCCTTCCATCACAGACACAGCCCCTTCCATCACAGACACAGCCCCTTCCATCACAGACACAGCCCCTTCCATCACAGACACAGCCCCTTCCATCACAGACACAGCCCCTTCCATCACAGACACAGCCCCTTCCATCACAGACACAGCCCCTTCCATCACAGACACAGCCCCTTCCATCACAGACACAGCCCCTTCCATCACAGACACAGCCCCTTCCATCACAGACACAGCCCCTTCCATCACAGACATAGCCCCTTCCATCACAGACACAGCCCCTTCCATCACAGACACAGCCCCTTCTATCACAGACACAGCACCTACAAACACAAACACAACACCTACAAACACAGTGGCTACAGACAACACTTAGCAATCAATCAGTTTTGCAGCCACAGTGATGCAGTGCAAACACACATCAAACATTACTATTCTTCCTTCATATTACTGTTTCCTATACAAACAACTTGTTTGTAAATTGAAAAACCAGGAACTCATCTTTAAGACGGAGAGCTCTTCTATTCATAATAAAAGTTTGTATATCCAACAACATCTATCACTTTCCACTCAAAAAAGATGCATTCATTCAGAGCTTCACAATACAATGGTTTGAAGCTTAGGCAGCTTCTTCTAGGGTTTAAGATCAAGAAAATGAATAAATTCAGTCTCACAATCAATGGTTTAAATCTTGGGCAAGTTTCTGTTTGGTTAAGAATTACAGTACATAGTTCAAACCCCTACAAAAAGTCCTCTCAACTATTACTATCATAGAATGCTACAGGGATAAGCAGCAATTCATCCTAATATTATTATTATTAAGAGGGGAATGTATGAGAGTATAGTTTTACCAACGCTCTTATATGGGTGTGAAGCGTGGGCGATGAATGTTGCAGCGAGGAGAAGGCTGGAGGCAGTGGAGATGTCATGTCTGAGGGCAATGTGTGGTGTGAATATAATGCAGAGAATTCGTAGTTTGGAAGTTAGGAGGAGGTGCGGGATTACCAAAACTGTTGTCCAGAGGGCTGAGGAAGGGTTGTTGAGGTGGTTCGGACATGTAGAGAGAATGGAGCGAAACAGAATGACTTCAAGAGTGTATCAGTCTGTAGTGGAAGGAAGGCGGGGTAGGGGTCGGCCTAGGAAAGGTTGGAGGGAGGGGGTAAAGGAGGTTTTGTGTGCGAGGGGCTTGGACTTCCAGCAGGCATGCGTGAGCGTGTTTGATAGGAGTGAATGGAGACAAATGGTTTTTAATACTTGACGTGCTGTTGGAGTGTGAGCAAAGTAACATTTATGAAGGGATTCAGGGAAACCGGCAGGCCGGACTTGAGTCCTGGAGATGGGAAGTACAGTGCCTGCACTCTGAAGGAGGGGTGTTAATGTTGCAGTTTAAAAACTGTAGTGTAAAGCACCCTTCTGGCAAGACAGTGATGGAGTGAATGATGGTGAAAGTTTTTCTTTTTCAGGCCACCCTGCCTTGGTGGGAATCGGCCAGTGTGATAATAAATAATAAAAAATATTATTATTATTAACACATTGGCCGATTCCCACTAAGGCAGGGTGACCTGAAAAAGAAAAACTTTCATCATCATTCACTCCATCACTGTCTTGCCAGAGAAGTGCTTTACACCCCTCTGGCAACATGTGTCATTAGCCACTCAGTCAGCACCTTCAGGAAAATACATTAGTTTTGCAACATGTCAACATTACCTGTTCAGCCAGCTCCTTGATGAGAAGGATAGATATGAAGGTCTTGCCAGATCCTGTACCCAGAACCAGGATGGAGTTTCGCTTCCTGGCTTCCTCAAACAGCTCCAGCTGGTAGGCTCGTGCTGCAAAGTCAAATCCACCTTCCTGCAAAATCATGTGCCATCTTAACCTCTTTCATGTGGGAGTGCCTCTGCTGCAAGAGAAGTGCATCGTAGAAGAGGCCTTGGGACATGATTAATAAATAGAGGAAATGCTGATTTAGTGCTTGGCATGCCTAGTGTTTATTTTGGTCTCTGTTTTTAAACTGGAATTTATTGAAATTTGTATATAATTGGCCAAATTACTAACTTCTCTGCACTTTATAGGGTAGTTATGATAGTTAAATGGGTGGTTTCTTGTACTCACTTGATAGAATCAAATGCACACAATGAAACAGCTACGAATTTTGTCAAATTGAGCAATGGAATTGGCTTAAAATATGACTCAAAGTGAGAATGCATAAACTGTACCAACAACTAACTCTGTGCCTGCATGATTCTTCAAGTTTTCTATCAGATTTCTTATTTTTGGTATCATGACCTTCAGAAAAAGATTCTCTACCATTTCAGAAGAAAAAATAATTACTCTTTTCCTAAAATTCCTGACACTGTTAGGACTTTTAACTTCAGGGCTACTAATAGTGAAGGAGTTAAAAAATGAAAATTCAAGTTGCTAATGCACTTTGTGGATGCTTAATTGCTATTTATGAGACAGAACTTTTTCTCACATTTACAGTAGCATAAATATACTTAGTAAAATGTTTCTGAGGGCATGTAAATGGTATGAGTATACATATGTATTAATTGTGCTGATTTTACATAATAACCCAAAAAAGTTAAACAATACGATTTAGTTTCATTATTACCATTGGGGGTTCCTAGATATCAACTGTTTGATTATGAAGAAATAAAAATTTTAGATGAACAAAATACAAAAAAAAGTAAGACTCGACTCACAAAATCGTAAGAACAAAATTGCAGACAAATCAGGGAAGGGGTGGGGGGCTGAACCCACAGCAAGTGAGTCCTGAAACTCGCAGGCCATTGTGCTACAATAAAAGAATGGGCAATTAAAACTGAAAACTAATCTCGTATTACATCCTTGCTGGTGCATCAGAAACATACCAAGTTCAGCACCAGGATGGTCTTAATAACATTATGCAAGACAGGAGGTCAGAAAGATCCTTACCAGTGTCAGAACCATATCAAGTCCAGAATCACGATGGTCTTAACAACACTATGGAAGACAGGCAGTCACAGAGACCCTTGCTAGTGTCAGAACCATACCAAGTTCAGCATCAGGATGGTTTTAACAAAACCTTTTGCAAAGACTAGTGAGCAAAACACTAGAACACATTTATTAGAAAATTTTCAGTCTTAGTGTCGGCACAAGTGTCTTTCTAAACCCATTTACCAATATCATTTACCAAGGTTATATGACACACTTCCAGGCAGGAGGTTAGCAAGATCCTTGCCAAATGGCAGAACTATACACAGGAGCAGGACAGACTTGATACCCTCCTTCAACAGAGATCAGAGATAGTGCTATATCAATCATGGAAGCCAGAGGTCTGCCAAGTTGACAACCATCACAACAGACACACTAGGGTCATCAGGGGGAAGTCACAGAGGACTAAGAGCAAACCAGAAGGAATAACAGCCACAACAATAACACTGGGATCATCAAGGAAGGTCATAGAGGAACCAAGAGTGAACCAAAAAAGTCGAGTGAGGTACACTATCACATGCTATTACTGAATCAACAATCAACCAGCACATGCTACTACAATATCAACAGTCAATGATCAGTTTTCTTCTGCAACCATATTGTCAACCTTCCTCTGGGTGGCGTAACAGCCATTACAGCACTGCTAAATAAGAGAAAACTAGCAGGAATCCCACATATCATTGTCTTACCTAAATTCAAATGCTTTATTCCTTTTATTTAGTATATAGATAATGTCATTTACATGTAATATTATTAGGCTCAAAAGAAAACCACATCTGACTAAAATCTTGTCTTTTTATTCATGGAATGTTTAACTCCTAATTTTAAAGGCCTGGTCAAGGACACCCTCCAGGCAGACTAGCATTAAATGCATTTTGGGCAAACTAATCTTAGTGCTTTATACAATTCCTACTGAAGTAACTTTTAATCTCCAGCAATGTATTTTATATCAAAGGAAAGACAAATTCCAAACCAGCTTTACTGGGAAAAATATTTGCTCTATTAGAGATTTATCAAGTCATTATTATATTATTATCACACCGGCCGATTCCCACCAAGGCAGGGTGGCCCGAAAAAGAAAAACTTTCACCATCATTCACTCCATCACTGTCTTGCCAGAAGGGTGCTTCACACTACAGTTTTTAAACTGCAACATTAACACCCCTCCTTCAGAGTGCAGGCACTGTACTTCCCATCTCCAGGACTCAAGTCCGGCCTGCCGGTTTCCCTGAATCCCTTCATAAATGTTACTTTGCTCACACTCCAACAGCACGTCAAGTATTAAAAACCATTTGTCTCCATTCACTCCTATCAAACATGCTCACGCATGCCTGCTGGAAGTCCAAGCCCCTTGCACACAAAACCTCCTTTACCCCCTCCCTCCAACCTTTCCTAGGCCGACCCCTACCCCGCCTTCCTTCCACTACAGACTGATACACTCTTGAAGTCATTCTGTTTTGCTCCATTCTCTCTACATGTCCGAACCACCTCAACAACCCTTCCTCAGCCCTCTGGACAACAGTTTTGTTAATCCCGCACCTCCTCCTAACTTCCAAACTACAAATTCTCTGCATTATATTCACACCACACATTGCCCTCAGACATGACATCTCCACTGCCTCCAGCCTTCTCCTCGCTGCAACATTCATCACCCATGCTTCACACCCATATAAGAGCGTTGGTAAAACTATACTCTCATACAATCCCCTCTTTGCCTCCAAGGACAAAGTTCTTTGTCTCCACAGACTCCTAAGTGCACCACTCACCCTTTTCCCCTCATCAATTCTATGATTCACCTCATCTTTCATAGACCCATCAGCTGACACGTCCACTCCCAAATATCTGAATACATTCACCTCCTCCATACTCTCTCCCTCCAATCTGATATCCAATCTTTCATCACCTAATCTTTTTGTTATCCTCATAGCCTTACTCTTTCCTGTATTCACTTTTAATTTTCTTCTTTTGCACACCCTACCAAATTCATCCACCAATCTCTGCAACTTCTCTTCAGAATCTCCCAAGAGCACAGTGTCATCAGCAAAGAGCAACTGTGACAACTCCCACTTTATGTGTGATTCTTAATCTTTTAACTCCACGCCTCTTGCCAAGACCCTCGCATTTACTTCTCTTACAACCCCATCTATAAATATATTAAACAACCACGGTGACATCACACATCCTTGTCTAAGGCCTACTTTTACTGGGAAATAACTTCCCTCTTTCCTACATACTCTAACTTGAGCCTCACTATCCTCGTAAAAACTCTTTACTGCTTTCAGTAACCTACCTCCTACACCATACACCTGCAACATCTGCCACATTGCCCCCCTATCCACCCTGTCATATGCCTTTTCCAAATCCATAAATGCCACAAAGACCTCTTTAGCCTTATCTAAATACTGTTCACTTATATGTTTCACTGTAAACACCTGGTCCACACTCCCCCTACCTTTCCTAAAGCCTCCTTGTTCATCTGCTATCCTATTTTCTGTCTTACTCTTAATTCTTTCAATAATAACTCTACCATACACTTTACCAGGTATACTCAACAGACTTATCCCCCTATAATTTTTGCACTCTCTTTTGTCCCCTTTGCCTTTATACAAAGGAACTATGCATGCTCTCTGCCAATCTCTAGGTACCTTACCCTCTTCCATACATTTATTAAATAATTGCACCAACCACTCCAAAACTGTATCCCCACCTGCTTTTAACATTTCTATCTTTATCCCATCAATCCCGGCTGCCTTACCCCCTTTCATTTTACCTACTGCCTCACGAACTTCCCCCACACTCACAACTGGCTCTTCCTCACTCCTACAAGATGTTATTCCTCCTTGCCCTATACACGAAATCACAGCTTCCCTAACTTCATCAACATTTAACAATTCCTCAAAATATTCCCTCCATCTTCCCAATACCTCTAACTCTCCATTTAATAACTCTCCTCTCCTATTTTTAACTGACAAATCCATTTGTTCTTTAGGCTTTCTCAACTTGTTAATCTCACTCCAAAACTTTTTCTTATTTTCAACAAAATTTGTTGATAACATCTCACCCACTCTCTCATTTGCTCTCTTTTTACATTGCTTCACCACTCTCTTGACCTCTCTCTTTCTCTCCATATACTCTTCCCTCCTTGCATCACTTCTACTTTGTAAAAACTTCTCATATGCTAACTTTTTCTCCCTTACTACTCTCTTTACATCATCATTCCACCAATTGCTCCTCTTCCCTCCCACATCCACTTTCCTGTAACCACAAACTTCTGCTGAACACTCTAACACTACATTTTTAAACCTACCCCATACCTCTTCAACCCCATTGCCTATGCTCTCATTAGCCCATCTATCCTCCAATAGCTGTTTATATCTTACCTTAACTGCCTCCTCTTTTAGTTTATAAACCTTCACCTCTCTCTTCCCTGATGCTTCTATTCTCCTTGTATCCCATCTACCTTTTACTCTCAGTGTAGCTACAACTAGAAAGTGATCTGATATATCTGTGGCCCCTCTATAAACATGTACATCCTGAAGTCTACTCAACAGTCTTTTATCTACCAATACATAATCCAACAAACTACTGTCATTTCACCCTACATCATATCTTGTATACTTATTTATCCTCTTTTTCTTAAATATGTATTACCTATAACTAAACCCCTTTCTATACAAAGTTCAATCAAAGGGCTCCCATTATCATTTACACCTGGCACCCCAAACTTACCTACCACACCCTCTCTAAAAGTTTCTCCTACTTTAGCATTCAGATCCCCTACCACAATTACTCTCTCACTTGGTTCAAAGGCTCCTATACATTCACTTAATATCTCCCAAAATCTCTCTCTCCTCTACATTCCTCTCTTCTCTAGGTGCATACACACTTATTATGACCCACTTTTCGCATCCAACCTTTACTTTAATCCACATAATTCTTGAATTTACACATTCATATTCTATTTTCTCCTTCCATAACTGATCCTTCAACATTACTGCTACCCCTTCCTTTGCTCTAACTTTCTCAGATACTCCAGATTTAATCCCATTTATTTCCCCCCACCGAAACTCCCCTACCCCCTTCAGCTTTGTTTCGCTTAGGGCCAGGACATCCAACTTCTTTTCATTCATAACATCAGCAATCATCTGCTTCTTGTCATCCGCACTACATCCACGCACATTCAAGCATCCCAGTTTTATAAAGTTTTTCTTCTTCTCTTTTTTAGTAAATGTCTACAGGAGAAGGGGTTACTAGCCCATTGCTCCCAGCATGTGAGTATATATTTTGGAGGTGGGAAGCACACTGCTTGTATTCTGATAATCAAAAAATCACTGGACAGTACCTACATCAATATTTACAGGAAAATTTAATCTCAGTGATAAGTAAAATCAATCCAATTTATTCTGTGAATTAGCAGAAATTTGGATCATAAATGGATGAGTCACATTCAAAGGGTTCAACTTCAATCCTGGGGTGGGTGGAGATAGGTATTTTACTAACACCTGCCCTAGTTCACTTTGCAGTAAATATCTACTGGGTATTACAGATCACATCCTCGGAGAAGTGGTAGTACAGCTTGGATAGGAATGTGCTCTGGAGTGAACTGAGGTAGGATAACAGATCTCTGCCTGTAAATTCAACTCTAAAAAAATTATTACAAGTGCTGGATCAAGTAGGCTGTGATGCACATGTAGGACAGTGGGCCACCAGTAGCAACTGCCTGGTTGGTCAGAGAAACACCAAACAAACCTAGCCCAAGGCTGAACTGCAGTAGAAAAACTCTCAAAACTCATCAATGGTAAGGAATTTAAAAGCAGCTTTTTAAAAGCAGTTTTTTAACTGTAATGTAGGCACGCTACTGGCAAGTCAGTGATGGAGTGAACGATGATGAATGTTTCTTCATTAAGTCACACTGCCTCGGTGAGAAACGGGCAACGTGTTAATAAAAAAAGTGAGTAATAACTTACGGGTGCTTCTGCTTCACCAGCCGTATCAGGTATCTGAGAGACACCGGCGTGTGTGGCAGCCATTGTTTTTGTGCAACTTCCTACAGAAGAAAACAAAAACAACATGTAAAAAGCTGTAATGCAAAGCTACACATTGCCAACAAAGCTTTTTATGGTACATTTTACCGTGTGTAAAGCAAAATAGAAGTGAAGGAAGAATAGAGAGGAATTAAAGGAACGGTAGCTGAGAAATGAAGGAGGGTAACAATGGAATGAAAAACGGGTAGGGGTGAAGGGTAGGGACTGAGTGAAGGAAGAGTAGGGAGGGAAGTGAAGGAAGGAAGGATAGGGAGGGGAGGGAGTGAAGCAAGGGTAGGGAGGGGAGGTAGTGAAGGAAGGGTAGGGAGGAGAGGTAGTGAAGGAAGGGTAGGGAGGAGAGGTAGTGAAGGAAGGGTAGGGAGGAGAGGTAGTGAAGGAAGGGTAGGGAGGGGAGGTAGTGAAGGAAGGGCAGGGAGGGGAGGTAGTGAAGGAAGGGCAGGGAGGGGAGGTAGTGAAGGAAGGGTAGAGGGAGTGAAAGAAGGGTAGAGGGGGAGTGAAAGAAGGGTAGGGATGGAATGAAAGAGGGGTAAGGGGTGAAGGAGAGGTAGAGAGTGATGAAGAAAGGGTAAAGAAGGAATGAAGGATGGATAAGGAGTAAAGGAAGGATAGGGAGATAAAGGAAGGGCAGGGAGGGAGCCTGGCCCACAGCTGGGCTCCGAGAATAGAAAGACTCTCAAAAGTCAACAAAGGCAAAGGCAAAGGGTAGGTATTTCAATCACAGGTACTTTTAAAAGACCTGTTGAAGCTGGCCATAAAGAAAAAAACACTAACAGTCATCAGTCAGTGGAATAAAGTCTAACCAGATAACTACTTTTGAACAGCCACATATTTTCACCATCAATATTATTTACAAATAGTATATGGTGTACAATAATTACAACAAGCTTAAATGGTACCATATATTAAACCCTCAATATAATAGACTTTTAAAATTATGGAAAAAAATCCACAGGGTAAATTGTTCTTTAAACTTATATCTGTAAATTGCTTGTTAGTACTATATTAGGCATACAGTATATTTTATTGCTATTTTTTTAACATTATTCTAATATAATGGACTTCTCTTATTAGTCCATTATATCAAGAGGTTTACTGTAATACTAGGTAGTAGGTTGGTAGATAGCAACCACCCAGGGAGGTACTACCGTTCTGTGGTAGTAGGTTGGTAGACAGCAACCGCCCAGGGAGGTACTACCGTTCTGCCAAGTGAGTGTGAAACGAAAGCCTGTAATTGTTTTACGTGATGGTAGGATTGCTGGTGTCTTTTGTCTGTCTCATAAACATGCAAGATTACAGGTACGTTTTGCTACTTCTACTTACACCTAGGTCACACTACACGTACATGTACAAGCATATATATACACACCCCTCTGGGTTTTCTGCTATTTTCTTTCTAGTTCTTGTTCTTGTTTATTTCCTCTTATCTCCATGGGGAAGTGGAACAGAATTCTTCCTCTGTAAGCCATGCGTGTCGTAAGAGGCGACTGAAATGCCGGGAGCAAGGGGCTGGTACCCCTTCTCCTGTATATATTACTAAATTTGAAAGGAGAAACTTTCGTTTTTCCTTTTGGGCCACCCCACCTCGGTGGGATACGGCCAGTGTGTTGAAAGAAAGAAAGTTTACTGTAATATGAATATTTTAACTAGAGAGAACATAAGAATTGGTACCCTCAAGTTACAATTTAAACACCCATACAGAGGACATAGCTTTCATATATGTTAAACAGCTGAACTGATACTAACCAGCTGAACTGACGTTAACCATCTGAACTGAATCTCCAGGGTGGACCCTAGTTATAAAGTAGCCTTTCCTGGAGCCCACCTCCTCACTCTCACTGGCTGAATTCCAGTGCAATTGGTAGATATCCTGTATGCGAATGAGGCCCTTCATTCACACCACTGATGTTAGAACCTGGCTATACCTCTGCTTCCAAGAAATGCACCCCTTTCCCTTCCTTTCCACTCCTAAACCTTTCTGGCAGACCATGGCACATCCACCACTGGTACCTTAGTATGACTATCCTCACAGAGCTTGTGCAATTGTAATCCAATAAGTGGCTGTGACATGGCCTAAGGGCTAGCAAAATAACACCTACCACCTAGGCATTACTATACTTGGAGGGAATACCTGGAGAGTGTTCCAGGGGTCAGTGGCCCTGCAGCCCAATCCATGACCAGACCTGTGAAGACAAATGGCACAAAGCTGATGATAAAAAAAAAAAGAACACATTTGCAAAGAGGAACTTTACTGAGACATTTCTGCCTGTGGGCAAGTTTCTTCAGTCAATGAAGAAGACTGAAGAAGCTTGTTCACGGGGAAAACATTCTGATAAAATTCCTCTCGACAACTGCATCTCCACCAGTGCTAGTTTGGCAACTGCCTTGCAAGCCCCTTGGTAAGGGCACTAACTGGGAACTCCCCAGAGAGCAAGGCATATCAGTTGTCCTAAATTTCCTGTGGGGAGGAGGGGGTGTGAAAGTCACCCTGAGGTGCAGCAGACTCACCTGCAGGACCTGGAACACCATCACTCATGGATGCTCTAGAGGATACACCAGACTTGCTTGCAGGATCTGCAGTACCATTAGACAGGGGTGTTCTAGAAGACACACCAGTCTCACTTGTAGGACCTGGAACACCATCACCCAGGGAGGTTTTAAAGGACACACCAGACTCCAGGATAACCTTCTTTACATCAGGTTCTGCACTAGAGTCCTCCTCAGAGCCCAGTCTCCGCTTGCAGCAAGTCTCTACCACATTCTTCTGGTGTGGGGGACTGTACCCTGTCAGTTCTGATGCCATGTCCTACCTAGGATGTCAGTACAATCTGCAATGGAGAAAAAACAGCCACGTAATGGTAAAAGGCAAACAAACTAGCTGTATTGCTGTCACTGCATGATCTGAGAAAGGTATTCTGTAATGTATAATCCCAGTCCCTGTACCTCAATGCATGCAAAAGGAATAGTAGAGTGCAGCATACATTTGTACTGTAATTATATATTAGTAATGAAGATTTGAAGGAAATTAATAAAAAATGGCAAATTAGAACATACAAAACCAAAATCTAATTCAAATCATCCGCTAAGAAACACCAACTTCAAAGTTAAAGTGACGAAGCATTCTCTTGTTATCTCAGAGACTAATAATAATAATAATCATCTTTATTTCTACAAGTACATGTACAAGCTGTATAGGCCTAGCTAACATCAATGACATAGTACTATACAGAAAGTCCCTTGTTATGAAGAGCATTTCAGGCAAATTAGGCCAATTTTGTCCCAGGATGCGACCCACACCAGTTGACTAACACCTAGGTACGTACCTATTATACTGATAGGTGAACATGGACAGCAGGTGCCTTAAGGAAACACATCCTAATGTTTCCAACTGTACTGGGACTCGAACATTTTTTTTTTTTTTTTTTTTTTTTTTTTTTTTTTTTTTTTTTTATTATCACACTGGCCGATTCCCACCAAGGCAGGGTGGCCCGAAAAAGAAAAACTTTCACCATCATTCACTCCATCACTGTCTTGCCAGAAGGGTGCTTTACACTACAGTTTTTAAACTGCAACATTAACACCCCTCCTTCAGAGTGCAGGCACTGTACTTCCCATCTCCAGGACTCAAGTCCGGCCTGCCGGTTTCCCTGAATCCCTTCATAAATGTTACTTTGCTCACACTCCAACAGCACGTCAAGTATTAAAAACCATTTGTCTCCATTCACTCCTATCAAACACGCTCACGCATGCCTGCTGGAAGTCCAAGCCCCTCGCACACAAAACCTCCTTTACCCCTCCCTCCAACCCTTCCTAGGCCGACCCCTACCCGCCTTCCTTCCACTACAGACTGATACACTCTTGAAGTTATTCTGTTTCGCTCCTTCTCTCTACATGTCCGAACCACCTCAACAACCCTTCCTCAGCCCTCTGGACAACAGTTTTGGTAATCCCGCACCTCCTCCTAACTTCCAAACTACGAATTCTCTGCATTATATTCACACCACACATTGCCCTCAGACATGACATCTCCACTGCCTCCAGCCTTCTCCTCGCTGCAACATTCATCACCCATGCTTCACACCCATATAAGAGCGTTGGTAAAACTATACTCTCATACATTCCCTCTTTGCCTCCAAGGACAAAGTTCTCTGTCTCCACAGACTCCTAAGTGCACCACTCACTCTTTTTCCCTCATCAATTCTATGATTCACCTCATCTTTCATAGACCCATCCGCTGACACGTCCACTCCCAAATATCTGAATACGTTCACCTCCTCCATACTCTCTCCCTCCAATCTGATATTCAATCTTTCATCACCTAATCTTTTGTTATCCTCTATAACCTTACTCTTTCCTGTATTCACCTTTAATTTTCTTCTTTGCACACCCTACCAAATTCATCCACCAATCTCTGCAGCTTCTCTTCAGAATCTCCCAAGAGCACAGTGTCATCAGCAAAGAGCAGCTGTGACAACTCCCACCCTGTGTGTGATTCTTTATCTTTTAACTCCACGCCTCTTGCCAAGACCCTCGCATTTACTTCTCTTACAACCCCATCTATAAATATATTAAACAACCACGGTGACATCACACATCCTTGTCTAAGGCCTACTTTTACTGGGAAAAAATTTTCCTCTTTTCTACATACTCTAACTTGAGCCTCACTATCCTCGTAAAAACTCTTCACTGCTTTCAGTAACCTACCTCCTACACCATACACTTGCAACATCTGCCACATTGCCCCCCTATCCACCCTGTCATACGCCTTTTCCAAATCCATAAATGCCACAAAGACCTCTTTAGCCTTATCTAAATACTGTTCACTTATATGTTTCACTGTAAACACCTGGTCCACACACCCCCTACCTTTCCTAAAGCCTCCTTGTTCATCTGCTATCCTATTCTCCGTCTTACTCTTAATTCTTTCAATTATAACTCTACCATACACTTTACCAGGTACACTCAACAGACTTATCCCCCTATAATTTTTGCACTCTCTTTTATCCCCTTTGCCTTTATACAAAGGAACTATGCATGCTCTCTGCCAATCCCTAGGTACCTTACCCTCTTCCATACATTTATTAAATAATTGCACCAACCACTCCAAAACTATATCCCCACCTGCTTTTAACATTTCTATCTTTATCCCATCAATCCCGGCTGCCTTACCCCCTTTCATTTTACCTACTGCCTCACGAACTTCCCCCACACTCACAACTGGCTCTTCCTCACTCCTACAAGATGTTATTCCTCCTTGCCCTATACACGAAATCACAGCTTCCCTATCTTCATCAACATTTAACAATTCCTCAAAATATTCCCTCCATCTTCCCAATACCTCTAACTCTCCATTTAATAACTCTCCTCTCCTATTTTTAACTGACAAATCCATTTGTTCTCTAGGCTTCCTTAACTTGTTAATCTCACTCCAAAACTTTTTCTTATTTTCAACAAAATTTGTTGATAACAGCTCACCCACTCTCTCATTTGCTCTCTTTTTACATTGCTTCACCACTCTCTTAACCTCTCTCTTTTTCTCCATATACTCTTCCCTCCTTGCATCACTTCTACTTTGTAAAAACTTCTCATATGCTAACTTTTTCTCCCTTACTACTCTCTTTACATCATCATTCCACCAATCGCTCCTCTTCCCTCCTGCACCCACTTTCCTGTAACCACAAACTTCTGCTGAACACTCTAACACTACATTTTTAAACCTACCCCATTCCTCTTCGACCCATTGCCTATGCTCTCATTAGCCCATCTATCCTCCAATAGCTGTTTATATCTTACCCTAACTGCCCTCCTCTTTTAGTTTATAAACCTTCACCTCTCTCTTCCCTGATGCTTCTATTCTCCTTGTATCCCATCTACCTTTTACTCTCAGTGTAGCTACAACTAGAAAGTGATCTGATATATCTGTGGCCCCTCGATAAACATGTACATCCTGAAGTCTACTCAACAGTCTTTTATCTACCAATACATAATCCAACAAACTACTGTCATTTCGCCCTACATCATATCGTGTATACTTATTTATCCTCTTTTTCTTAAAATATGTATTACCTATAACTAAACCCCTTTCTATACAAAGTTCAATCAAAGGGCTCCCATTATCATTTACACCTGGCACCCCAAACTTACCTACCACACCCTCTCTAAAAGTTTCTCCTACTTTAGCATTCAGGTCCCCTACCACAATTACTCTCTCACTTGGTTCAAAGGCTCCTATACATTCACTTAACATCTCCCAAAATCTCTCTCTCTCCTCTGCATTCCTCTCTTCTCCAGGTGCATACACGCTTATTATGACCACTTCTCGCATCCAACCTTTACTTTAATCCACATAATTCTCGAATTTACACATTCATATTCTCTTTTCTCCTTCCATAACTGATCATTTAACATTACTGCTACCCCTTCCTTTGCTCTAACTCTCTCAGATACTCCAGATTTAATCCCATTTATTTCCCCCCACTGAAACTCTCCTACCCCCTTCAGCTTTGTTTCGCTTAGAGCCAGGACATCCAACTTCTTTCATTCATAACATCAGCAATCATCTGTTTCTTGTCATCCGCACTAATCCACGCACATTTAAACAACCCAGTTTTATAAAGTTTTTCTTCTTCTCTTTTTTAGTAAATGTATACAGGAGAAGGGGTTACTAGCCCATTGCTCCCGGCATTTTAGTCGCCTCATACGACACGCATGGCTTACGGAGGAAAGATTCTTTTCCACTTCCCCATGGACAATAGAAGAAATAAAAAAGAACAAGAGCTATTTAGAATAAGGAGAAAAACCTAGATGTATGTATATATATATATACATGTGCGTGTCTGTGAAGTGTGACCAAAGTGTAAGTAGGAGTAGCAAGATATCCCTGTTATCTAGCGTGTTTATGAGACAGAAAAAGAAAACCAGCAATCCTACCATCATGCAAAACAGTTACAGGTTTTTGTTTCACAGTCATCTGGCAGGACGGTAGTACTTCCCTGGGTGGTTGCTGTCTACCAACCTACTACCTATACGCACTAAACCTTCAAAGGTCCTACAGCCGGGAATCGAATAATAGACCTCAGTGTGTGAGACGAGTGTGCTACCAACCGAGCTACGGGACACCCAAAATATTGTAAAATACATCGGCACAAAAGTTTGAAGCAGCTTATAAGTTGAATTATTGTGTTATCAAAACTGAAGGGTTGAAGTTAATCGGATGAGGCACTTGGAAATTATTGCACAAAATCAGTCTTCTAATTTTCCTGGTTTCTTCCATAAAAAAAAAAGGCAAACTGGGACCAATGCAGACAAAAATCAATCCAAACTTTTCTCTAAGATTGACCTGTGTAAATAAACAATACATATTTACTTACCAAGATAATACATATGCACTAGTTAAGAAACTGTATACATACTTGTTATAGCCCATAGTCAAGTAAAGCATTTCAGACTTACGATTAAACAAACCTTAAAAGATTAATCCATAGATGAGTTGCAGTTGTGTATGTAACTGCACAGTATATTCAAATTTAAAGTTTATTTCCACATATAAACTGTTTATACAGAAATGGGTGACACTTGAATGCATATAGACAGCCCATGGTTATGCAGAGTATCTTGGGCAAACTTAAGCCTAACTTAAGACTACAAGGGCAATAAACATTACATATATATATTTAAGAACATTAAATGTACGTATACAAAAAAGATTGTATCAATGAGATTATAACGAATGTATATGTAAGTAGGTTAAATATATCACTGTACATAATTATAAGAAAAATTATTTGGATTACAGTCACGGCTGTGGAGTCTGAGTCGGAAGCAATTCTTGGGTTACTCTAGTCAAGAGTTGGTAAAATGTAATTGAAGGAGTGGGAGGTGCCATAAATGAAGGTGTTGGAGTTGAAGGTTTTATGTGCCAACTCCACAGCCCTGGTTATATTATAGGAAGTTTATGGGTAGTTTTTTTTACATTACATGTCATTCCATTCAAGATCTCAAATTCTCAAAGCAGCAAATATTCACAGTACAGGTACTCCTCACTTAACAACCTACCTGTTTAACGTCCGCTCAGACTTATGACCAGCTCTCCGACCAGTGTACTGTATGCGCATTTTACTTTTTTTATTTTTTTTTAATGCTATTAATGTTATAAATGATGCAAAGGTTGATACAAACCCACTATCAGTACAGTATGCTTGAAATATCAGTAAGGGACAGCTCCTCGTTTAACAGCCAATTCACTTACTTACCTACTTTTAGGTACAGAGCTCGGTTGTTAAGTGAGAAGTACAGGTACCATCCTCCTTACGACCGAGCTTGGTTCCGACCAATTGGTCGTAAGTCAAAATGGACATAAGTCGAAACTTACTACTGAATATCAACATCATATTATCGTAATATTATTTTTTTTTTTAGTTCATTTTTTAATTTACTTTTTATGCTGTTAGCACTGTATTTTGTACTGTAAAGTTTATGAGAAACACTGTATACAACACAAACAATTGTTTATTTCCCAGAATATTTGCATACAAAACATGGTTGTAAGTCGAGTGGTCATATGTCGAGGAGGTCGTGAGTCGGATGGTAGGTGTACCTGTAATTTTCATCTTCTAATTTTTAAAAATAAATTTTCCCTGAAAAATAACACAATAAGATAATTAAGGTGCCTGAAGATTTGATAATTAAGTACAAAGATGATCATCACAAATAATCCCCACATAGGTCAAACTTGGACCTATATGCGGGTTGTTTGAGTATTGTTCCAGTCATGGTATTGTGAATTTGTTCTTTACAAAGATCATTTTAGCATAGTAACAAAATTAGCATAATTTCAATAACAATGTTGCAATGTAAATTATGTAGACACACAAGGAGATAATGAAACACAAGGATTATGCTAATTAACGAAAAACTCAGATTATTGTAACAGCAATATCAGGGATAACAATAATAATAATAATAATAATAATAATGATAAATTATACAGAAAACCCCTGGTTGTGCAGAGCACTTCAGGTAACTTAGGCTAATCAATGATCTTCAGTATCGTAAATGAATAGAGATTGTAATTTTAAACGAAAACTGGTTGCAAGAAACGCGAGCAAACATTAAGGTGTATTTATTAGAAAAACATTTCGGTCCTGAAACCCTGATCACGGTCCAGGACCTAAACAGTTCTATAATAAATATGCCCTAGCGTTTTCTGGCTTATTTTTTAAGCCATTTCCTGACATCCACATGATTCACTTTTGTCTATAATTTAGAACTGTGTCCAGTATAGGAATGTTATGGAAGAATAATGTAATGTAATGAAAGAACATTATAAGAATATAGCTAATAAAGGAATAATTTAAGAATGTTATGAAAGAATAATGTAAGACAGTGGCTAATGAAAGAATAATGTAAGAACGTAATAAAAAAATAATTTAAGAACGTAATGAAAAAATAATGTAAGAACGTAATGAAAGAATAATGTAAGAACGTAATGAAAGAACAATGTAAGAACGTAATGAAAGAACAATGTAAGAACATAATGAAAGAACAATGTAAGAACATAATGAAAGAACAATGTAAGAACATAATGAAAGAACAATGTAAGAACATAATGAAAGAACAATGTAAGAACATAATGAAAGAACAATGTAAGAACGTAATGAAAGAACAATGTAAGAACGTAATGAAAGAACAATGTAAGAACGTAATGAAAGAACAATGTAAGAATGTAATGAAAGAACAATGTAAGAATGTAATGAAAGAACAATGTAAGAACGTAATGAAAGAACAATGTACGAACGTAATGAAAGAACAATGTACGAACGTAATGAAAGAACAATGTACGAACGTAATGAAAGAACAATGTAAGAACGTAATGAAAGAACAATGTACGAACGTAATGAAAGAACAATGTACGAACGTAATGAAAGAACAATGTACGAACGTAATGAAAGAACAATGTAAGAACGTAATGAAAGAACAACGTAAGAACGTAATGAAAGAACAATGTAAGAACGTAATGAAAGAGCAATGCAAGAACGTAATGAAAGAACAATACAAGAACGTAATGAAAGAACAATGCATGAACGTAATGAAAGAACAATGCAAGAACGTAATGAAAGAATAACACAATGAAAGAATGTCACAAAAGAACAATGTAAGAATAATGAAAGTTTGCCAGATTCCCGTAATACTAAAACTTACATTTGCATCCCCCCCCCCCAAAAAAAAAAGAATTTAGTAAACACATCATAATTTCTACAAGTAGACGATATAACTTATACAGACCATAGTTGACATCAATGATATACTACTATATTTATTTTTTTTATTTATTTATTAATTTGAACATTTATTAATTTGAACATTTATTAATTTCAACAAAGCTGCTTGTTATCTTGGGTATTTCCCGCAAATTAGGTCAATTTTGTCCCCAGGATGCGACCCACACCAGTCCACTAACGCCCAGCGTACTTATTATATTGTTTGGTGAACATGTTTCCACCCGTACCGGGGATCGAACCCCGGACCTCAGTGCGTGAGCTGAGTGCGCTACCAACCCAGCTACGGTCCGAAAGCCACCACTAAGCCACCCATTAATGGAAAGTGTCTTATTTAGACCAAATTTAACATTATATACAAAAAAAAAGGTTGAATATATTGTCTTAAGTGATCCCATGTACTTAGTTTTTCTTAACTATATTAAGTCTATGTGAGCTCTAAACCCGTAGGAATGAGAGAGCAGTTCCACTTCCTCGGATCAAGAACCCCATTACCGTCATCAAGGGTATAATTATACAGTAACCGCCCCTTAAGAGGGGAGGGAACAGAGCCGCTTAAGTAGCACACTCACCTTATGTAGCGTTTTAGCAGGTGTGGCACTGGTAGTGCCAGTTTGAGGCACTGTGGGGTACCAAGGTGGTGTACCAAGCACCGTACAAGATACAGTGTGCCTCACAGACAGATACAGAACAATGGTGCAACTTGTATCTGGCGGTACATGTTCAGGTTCCGTCCAGCCTGACACACACCGCTTAATATATCTCTATTATATCCCTCCAAACTTACTCATATACCCGCTATATCGCTCTCATATACAGCATACTACTCTGGTATAATCATACTACTCTACTATCATGCCAATAAACCCACTCATTGGGTTAGTTTTAAAGTTAATATAACCGTGGTGTTAAACCGCTTAATGTAAGATTAACAGAGGGATCCTAAATATAATTATCATAATTACAAAGCTTTATTTGTAAATATTATTATGATTAAGTAAGTTACTTTATTCAGGTATATACAAATACAGTCACATAGATTATTATACATAGCAGCATATGTATAGATAACCCAGGATAACCCAAACAAATCAGTGACTTATTTTCATTGGGTCCCTTTTAATACCTCATTATTATACTATAAAGGATATATGGGAAGCAGGTGGTGTGGGACTATACATGTGCATCTACCTTGGCTGATACCTATCTCCAATACACCAGGGAGGAAGGAGGGGCAGCTGCCAGCTTCAGGGAGTCCCAAAAGTATAGAAAATATGGAGAACTTGCCCATCATTATATGTTTGTTCCCATAGGCTCAGAGACCCTTGGCTCATGGGGAAAGAGTGCATCTAAATTCCTTAAGGAGCTGGGAAAAAGACTCATCAGGGTAACTAGGGATCCCAGGGCAGCTAGTTTTCTGTTCCAGCGGCTCAGTGCGGCTGTTCAAAGGGGTAATGCCTGCTGTATTTTGGGCACACGCCCCAGCTCTGAGGAGCTGGATGAGATTTTCGCCTTATAATCGGTGATACACACGTAACAACATGTACCGTATATGCCACATTTATATCAACAATGTATCTCTTAAATCTTCTGTACCATATTATGTAATAAAATATTCCTATTGGTAAAAAAAAAAATACTAAAAGATGGGGTGGTAGGGGAAGTGGAATATTCAAACGGCTTCAGGAAGAAATCCAAATATTCTTCCTTGAAGTCTTTTTATGCACTTCTCCGAGGCAATGGGTCCCACAATTTACACCAGAGGTGGACCCCATCCTATATATATATATATATATATATATATATATATATATATATATTATATATATAAATATATATATATATATATATATATATATATATATATATATATATATATATATATATAAATACTAGGAATAAGGTAAAATTAGTTGTTTATATTTACATGTGTGCTAGCTAAAAAAAATAAAAAATCATTCTCCTCTCTGTCTGTCGATACGTAATGATAATGATAATGATAATGATAATGATAATGATAATGATAATGATAATGATAAAACTTTATCTCTATGAGCACAAGATACTGTAGATATATGAATAAAATAGATACATACAGATACATGGGTGACTGAAGTTAAAATACGATACCTGGAGTTTACCTGGAGAGAGTTCCGGGGGTCAACGCCCCCGCGGCCCGGTCTGTGACCAGGCCTCCTGGTGGATCAGAGCCTGATCAACCAGGCTGTTGCTGCTGGCTGCACGCAAACCAACGTACGAGCCACAGCCCGGCTGGTCAGGAACTGACTTTAGGTGCTTGTCCAGTGCCAGCTTGAAGACTGCCAGGGGTCTGTTGGTAATCCCCCTTATGTGTGCTGGGAGGCAGTTGAACAGTCTCGGGCCCCTGACACTTATTGTATGGTCTCTTAACGTGCTAGTGACACCCCTGCTTTTCATTGGGGGGATGTTGCATCGTCTGCCAAGTCTTTTGCTTTCGTAGTGAGTGATTTTCGTGTGCAAGTTCGGTACTAGTCCCTCTAGGATTTTCCAGGTGTATATAATCATGTATCTCTCCCTCCTGCGTTCCAGGGAATACAGGTTTAGGAACCTCAAGCGCTCCCAGTAATTGAGGTGTTTTATCTCCGTTATGCACGCCGTGAAAGTTCTCTGTACATTTTCTAGGTCAGCAATTTCACCTGCCTTGAAAGGTGCTGTTAGAGTGCAGCAATATTCCAGCCTAGATAGAACAAGTGACCTGAAATTAAACGCATTTACTATGTATATTAATCTACGTAACTTAATAATGTAAGTGTATTTGTGTATGTTTATGTAACTGTGTTTGTGTATATCTGAATAAACTTACTTGCTTTCATGTACTCGCCTAATTGTGGTTGCAGGGGTCGAGTCACCGCTCCTGTTAATGTAATGACTTAGCTTACAACCCGTCATGTTTATATCTGGCCACAATCGTCATGAGTTCTGTATGTAGATATGAATTAGGTCACACAGAAGCATTGCCTGTGACCTAATTCATGTATACATTAATAATAATAATAATAATAATAATAATAATAATAATAATAATAATATTTATCTCTACATACCTGGAGAGGGTTTTGGGGGTCAACGCCCCCTCGGCCAGTCTGTGACTAGGCTTTGCTGTGGATCAGGGCCTGATCGACCTGGCTATTACTGCTGGCCGCACTTAAACTGACGTAGGAACCATAGCCCGGCTGGTCAGGTACTGACTTTAGGTGTCTGTCCAGTACCTTCTTGAAGACAACCAGGGGTCTATTGGTAATCCCCCTTATGTATGCTGGGAGGCAGTTGTACAAGGTATACAAACCACAGCTGATGTCAGTGACATACCACTATATAGAATGCCCCTTTCAATGCAGAGAAATTCGGGTAAATTAGGTAAACTGCATTCCCAGGATGCGACCCAAGCCAGTCGACTATCACCCAGGTACCTATTTTACTGATAGGTGAACATGGACAGCAGGTGTCCTAAGGGAACACGGCCTAATGTTTCCAGCCGAACCGGGGATCGAACCCTGGACCTCAGTGTGAGAGCTGAGTGCGCTACCAATCGAGCTACGCCACAATGACAAACGACTCATTATATATTGTATCTAATCTGTTGACTACCGCTACTACCTCTCTTGTCCCTAGATCACGAGCCACTCACCTCACGAGGGGCCCATACTAGCAGGGACTAGTTACTGCCCTTTTCGAGTCATCGTGACTCACGAAATCATAATAACACGCGATAACAATCTTGTTATTAAGATTTCGTGAGTCATTATGACGGCTTTGACGGGACCTGAGTCGTCACAGTGGTGGCCCATGCTAACCTCCCTGTGGCGTATCAACGCACCCACTTGGATAAACATTTTCGTAACCCGATGGCCCAGTGCCTTACGCACTGGCCTCGAGTTTTACGACTGACTCTCCATGGGTTCTAACCTTACCCGTTCAGTGTTTTTTTTTTTTTTTTTTTTTTGAGTCTTGTCCAGAATTGAGCACAATTGCGATACAATAATACTAGGAGACTTCAATAGCTGCTATCAATAGCAAAATAACGGGCTATGTAACAGATATAAGCAACTTCTAGGATTAAATATTTATTTTTTTTAGTATTAACACATCGGCCGTCTCCCACCAAGGTAGGCTGGCCTGAAAAAGAAAGACTTTCATCATCATTCACTCCATCACTGTCTTGCCAGAGGGATGCTTACACTACAGTTATAAAACTGCAACATTAACACCCCTCCTTCAGAGTGTAGACACTGTACTTACCATCTCCAGGACTCAAGTCCGGCCTGGGGGTTTCCCTGAATCCCTACACAAATGTTATCTTGCTCTCACTCCAACAGCACGTCCAGTCCTAAAAACCATTTGTCTCCACTCGCTGCACTCCACTCCATGCTTGCACACAAAGCCTCCTTTACCCCCTCTATCCAACCTTTCCTAGTACGACCCCTACCCCTCCTCCCCTTCATTACAGATTTATACACTGTCCAACTATTCAATACACCGACCCTTATCACACAGTTCTCAGCCACAATACTCGACCACATTGTAACTGCTCTGATAACATTAGTCAGGCGTCACTAGTGATCATTTCATCACTCATTGCACCAGGAAAATCATTAGGAAACAGATAGGCCTTCACAGGGCAATAAAAATGAGGTCAACTGAAAGCTACAGTAAAGAAACACTAGTCAATACTCTACACGATTGTGACTGGACAGTGATAATAAGTTGAACGAATGTAAATGATGCCTGAAAAACATTGAAAACAATGTTTACTACCATCCTTGATAATATTGCACCAGTTAAAGAGATTAGGATAAAAAGAAGAACCGAGCCCTGGATGACTACTAAGATATTAGATAATATGAAATTCAGAAACCAGCTCTAAATGAATTCCAAAGGTGAGGAACAGAGAGCAGAGGCTTATAGAAGGAGCAAAGGCAAAACACTAGTGCTCAAAAATCGAGGAATACAAGAATAATCCCAGAAAGGTCTGGTAACAACTAAGAAAGCTGTGGTATAGCCATAAACCCATAAATATATCTATCACAGTGCTAAATATCGACAACTAGGTATGCCATGAAACAACTAATGCATAATGCATATGAGGCCTGGTCACAGATCGGGCCGTTGACCCCCCGAAACCCTCTCCAGGTATACTCCAGGTATTGCTTTAATTCATTTTACCCAACTGCTACATGAACTGCCGATTGCATCGAATACCTTCAACACAATGACTTAGTAAATGGTCCAGGTTGGACCGAAACATCGTCGTAAGCTCATTTCTCCTATGTGCGGGTTATTTGTGTATAATGCATAGACATAATGCGGAGAATTATATACAAAAGATATGATAATCAGTCCCTCAGTCTTGGAGTTGGTGACCAGCACCGTAGTCTTGAAGGAACTGAAGCACGGTCGTGGAGGTTGGCGTTTATATACTTGCGACAGGTGAAGGACTTGCAGAAGACGAAGGCTGCTTCACGTTAAATACTTGTATTGATAAAGTCACTGGTTGGTGAAACATCTACAAATAAAGATACCCAGATATTGCATATATATATATAATTATTTCATCTTGTCGGTATTGTATACTATTTATGTATAACTTGTCAGACACTTCTACATCATGGAACCTTGGCACAGAGGACATCATCACAACGTTCTGTCTTACTACTGGTCCATTCCTTGAGTATGACTTCCACTGGGGATTTCTGCCTACGAGATGGGACTTACACTGATGACAGCAAAGAAATGAGTGAGATACTGAAGTCCTAATATGACTCAGAGTTTAGTGAGTCGTTAATGAGGCTAAGGGTCGACAATCTAAATTATTTTTTTATGACCCAGACTCGAAATTTGGTTAATTAAAAAATTTCTGATATTATCCTATTATCCCACAAGACTTTGAGAAAACA